AAAGAAAATATTTTATTTATAAATTATATTTGAATTTCTTGTAAAATTTTTTAATTTAACTTTTGAAAGTAACATCGTTAATTTATTATCAAAGTTTCATTGAACTGTTTAAAGTTTCAAAGTAAATTGAAGGAGCTGAATGCAGATTTCAGCACAAAGTTTAGACTCCTCTCTGTTTTGCATCTGCATCACTAAATCAATTATGAATGAAATAAAGCTCAGCATTATCAATCATATGAATTGAAGCTTAATGATTGTATAAATTGAAACTTCGCTGACAACGAAACATACTGACATGTGCTGTGACAAAATGTGCGTAGAATCCAAAATGAAATGTGTGTCGCAGAACGTGATGTGATGCGCAGCGTGGCAATTCACACACTCAGGAGACAAAAGCAAAATCTAATAATATCTTGCGATAATTAATTCGACATGGAACTAATAATTCAATATGCGCTGGCAGAGCGCTGGTTGCATGTCCTTGAATGAAAAATTAGGTTGGACACGTGCAGTGGACATGCATTCTCTGTCCAAAATGCAAATAAACAAATAAGCGTGATAGGGAAATTTGTATTTTTAATGAATAACTTTGGATTTTCGTAGAGTTTAATTTCATCTAAAAGCAGTAAAAGCACTGGCATGGCGATGGCATGGCGATGGCAGGGCGATGGCATGGCGAAGGCAGGGCGATGGAAGGGCGAAGGCAGGGCGATGGCTTAGCGCTGGCTGAGCTTTTTACTTTTACTTTTTTTCCCTGCAGCTGGAACGCTAGAACTAAATTTTTATTAAGGCTCAATCAGTCCCGCCTTTTCCTTCAAGTTTTTGCTCCCTCTGCTGACGTAAATTCTTAATTCCATTTAGAATTTGAAAGCGAAGATTATGGTCCCAGCTGGAGGGTCAGCGAAAAATTCGCATCCAAATAGCGAGTCATATTATAATTCGAACAATGGTAATGAACACATGCGACGCGCGACTTCTCTTTACAAAGTTCGTTCGTAAAAAAAATTAGCGTATTTCGTTATTTAGATTCAGTCAAATTTACAAAAGTGGCATCAGGCTGGCATCACGCCAGAACTATTTAGAGGAGTATACTGAAACAATCCGTTTAAAATTAAAACTGTGTGAAAGAAAAATAAACTTGCGATAAAATCTAATTTTTCCATTTTAAAAATAAATCAGTAATTACATTGCTCAAAAACGTTCAGGAATGTTTTGGAAGCATTTAAGTTACTAATGATTATAAAAATCAAAGATTCCTCAATAACAATTTTGTGTTGAAAAAATTGAAATTGTATTAAAAATTCACCCCTAGATGGCAAACGATATGACGGAAATTTACATCATTTTGTACTCAAAAGGCAGGAAAATTTAACTTTAAAATAATAATCTCCGTTTTTTTACTTTTATCAAGAAATGTATTTTTGTTTTTTCACGGCCAAATTTTTTCAGCTCAAAAAATGTGGTAAATATGGAAATTAAAATAGTTGCCCCACTCAAAAGGAGTAAATATTGTGCAGTCCCACGACCTAAATTAACCACGAACGGTTTTTAATTGAATAAATTTGGTTTGAAAGAACCCAAACAAGTTTGTTTCGAAAGGGCAAAAGTAAATCAATTCCGTGGACAAGACAACAAAATTCAAGTGGAAATTCTAAATGATTGCAGAATAATCTGGAAAAGAGTAGGCAAATTTGGAAGGCAAATGGCCAGCGAGGGCGCATGTATAAATGTGGTCGAAATGAAAATCGGCGGCGGCATTCTTTCGAGTATCGGCGCTGTTTACACATTATCTGAATTGGAGACGAGCCACTACTCTCCGCGAGCACAAAGAGAGAATTCACTTTGCATGTCATCAACGGTGAGCTTTGATTATATTCTCTGTCCTTCTGCCGCGAGTGCTAGGCGCCGCGCGTATAATTTATTCGCGTTGCTGATGAGGGGGATTGTGTGCGGCTGCATTTTTACCGCCTTAATGAATATTTTAGCGCGAGAGTGCCGTCGCCAACCTTTCCGCGTGTCGTAATTAATTTCAAAAGCACCCTTCTCGTGCAATACTTATGTATACACGTCGTTCTCCACGCACAGCTCTGGGAAATTCAGGGTCTTGCTGGAAATTTTCCGCTTGGTCGAGTTTGGAATCATTCGAAAGAGCGCTGTAATCACCTTCTATTCACATTTCTCATTAATTGATGAAGAAAATTAGAAGATCAGAGGATTTAAGAAGGTGGATGTCCTTCATTTATATATGCCATGGTGTGCTATAGCTTTGAGAGTAATTGAAGCAGCGGCCTTTAAGAAACATAAATAGCTTATAGAAGAGACCATACGGTAATTAACAATATATAATTATTTTTTAGCCAAAAGTAAGCGAAAATTTGGCATCTGTCATTTTTAATTATTTCCTATGAATAATCAATCTGGAGTTTGGCTGCCTGTAACAGCCAACATTCTGATCTTATTGCTTAACAGTTGCTTAATTATTATTATAGTTTTTAAAAACGTTACAATTTATTAGGTCCTCAAAAGTAGCACATTTACTCTGATGTTTTAATAAATTTTTTGTTTATACTTCATAATTTAAGAAAGAAATATAATAATTATCAGAAATTAAAAATTTAAAGATGAATTAATTAAAATCAATCCATTTTATTTAGAGTCCAAATATTAATTTAATAGCTTTTAAAATTCGCCAGCAGTCAATATTAAATTTCAAAAAAAAAAAAAAAAAATCTTGTCAAGTTCCAATGATAATCGCTGCCAATAATTTGCAGTTGATAATAACTCGGGCAAATTAAGTGATTTTTTTATATAAGATTTTAGTATTATTATCTGCCTGACGCGTTTACCAAGACCGACCCTTCCCCAAATTATTACTTGATCGCATAGCCACTTTTGGCCGCAGGCGAGATGGCCAAAGTCGTGTAAAGTAGGCTTTCCGTTGGTCACAGACGTCAAGATATTGCCTATTTTAATGAAATTCCTGCGGTGTCCGCTGTATTTGAATGTAGTTTGCGAGCAGTCGACTTTAGTCGCCTCACAGTGTACAAAATTGGCTGTGAGAGCGAACGTTATCTGTTAGAAATTTTGAGCTCATAGGCTTTGATATACCAAGACAGTATCATCAAAATCGAATAGGGAGATATTCTATGAAGTAATTATAATTAATTAGACTAAAAAAATTAATTAATTAAAGAGAGATAAAAATCATCAGAGGAGGTGTCATCTCAATCAAAGTGAATTTAGCTTTCATTAATATTAAAACATGTTTTAGAAAATAACAAGATTTAATTTTTAATTTTTTTTTTTTAAATAATAGAAATTAAAAATTAAAGGTGTTTATCATTGACGCTTAAAATATTCAATTCCATACAATTCTGTTTAAAGCTTTATTTAATTTAAAACCTTAATTGCATTATTTCAGTGTAAATAAAATTGATTAAAAAGATGGACAAAATTTAATTTGTAGACCATATTGTCCAATTTATTATGAAAAAACTTTTGATTTAATATTTTTTCCACTAAAAATATTATTTTGTCCCCAAAATAAAATGTTTAATGTCAAAAGTCTGACTTTGTAAAAATTATTTTAATTATATTTAATAATTAATGACACATATGAAAATATTATTAGAAAAATTAATTACATTTGATTATTAAAGACGTTTATTTTATATTAATAATTATAAATAAAGAGAGGTAATAAATAAATTGAGGATGAAAGTAATTTTATTACCAATTTTCAGAAAATTTAACATAATAATATGCTACTACAGTTTCGCACAGTATTTGCAATTTTTGTTGCAGAAAATGTGTAAACTGAGAACTTGAGTGTATCATTATTTCTTTGTAGCACGTGCACTTGAATTGCTTTTTCAGCATTAATGAGGAGCTTATGCGTCTGCTAGTGCAATTTGATGACTCTTGAGCATATCATATATATTTTTTTTAAAGGATTTTCCTCCTTACTTATTATGTGGCACATACATATGTGTAGGGCGGTATATAATACAATCTTTCTTTTTCAAATAAAATTTTCTTTTCCTGTGTATATAGAGCCCTCCATATCATCAATCAGAAGCTTCCCAGGGTTGGTTCAGCGCAAGCCTTTAATTGAAAATTTGCTATGGACTGAAATATAAGACCGTCGCACGGATTGCGAGAAGCGAGTTTTTTTTGCTTAGTTTATTGCTTATAAAAAGTGGGGAAAAATATGCTTTATTTGCGCGCATATGATTAATATTAGGAATAAAATCTTATTTATTAAGTCCCATTCTTTGAAAATTAACCATTTTTCCATTTTGAAGTGCCTTAAAATTAAAATCATATGATATGATTTTGTCTAAAATCAACACACATTAATAAAGATTTTCAAGATTTTTTAAAGTTTAAGATCTTTTGATCTCAAAATTTTAAAAAGAGTAATAGTTCTAGCTGATTTTTTTTTTTTTTTCTTCAAAATCAGTTATTTAATTGTTCGCAAAATGAACTGTTATTATATTGTATTTTTTGTATCTATGTTCAAAAATTACTAATAAAATTTGTTCCACAATGAAGGAAGATTCAGTGGAAGAATTAGTTTAACTGCAAAAATGATTTATCAAATAACAAAATTTTAAAACATCAATATAATCAATATTCTATAATAATATATTGTGTTGTAAAGTCATGGACGATGATTTTAAAAATATTGCCTCATTTTTATGAAGTCCTCCCATAAAAAATTTTATGCAGAGTATGATTGAGAGCAATCTAATCTATAAAACGCGCAAAGTGAGGGGCCTGTTGCCTCTCGTCAGGATAGAGGAACGCTCGTTGACACTCGAGGGTAATCTGGTAATTTTCACCCCTAAACCAAACTGGCCGGCGAGCATAATGCAGCCCATGATTGCCTTTGATTCTGTGGCATAAAAAACGAGGCGGCACTCAGGCGATTGGTCCCGAGAAGCGGGAAGGCGTGGTGAAACCGGCGTTTAAATACCCGAGACCGCGGCCAGAAAAGAGCCATCCGCAGTCTGCGACTGAAGCATCCAGCCGACACACACGCGCTCTTCTCGCGGCTCCGTGATCTTACGCCTTCTCGTCGATCTCAACTAGTTCACAAAAGGTAGGATCTCGCTTTGCCTATTTCTATAAATTAATTACTAAACATTTGAAATTTTACAATTTTTTTAATTACTTACTAAATTTTCAAAACATACAATTTAATGATTTTTTTTTTCAATTTAAATTTTCCTATAGATTTTCCCTTGCATTTTCTCTCAAAATCTAAAATTTCAAATTAATTGCTTTTTTAGGAATAGAAAAATTTTATGGAAATTTTATTTTCATTTTATAATATGCAATTTTCTAAACAAAATTTTCATCAGTTTATTATATCGTTAAATAATTAAATTCAAAAATACTTTTTACTCTAATATGTATACAAAATTAAACATTTAAGTCCATAGAATGTTTTTCTATTTATTATTTTTATTATTTCGGGCGAGTCCTTTGTTTTTATTTGTTTCTCTTCTTGGCCTTCTAGAATCTTCTTCTTCCACTTACAAAAAAAATCAAGCGCGGTCGAAGATAATGCTTTATTAAGTACCCAAGTCCCTCTTTCATCAACATAGCAACACAAGCAGCAAAATAAATTTGTTATTTGCATCACGGACTGAAACTTTTTTAAGAGGAAACACCTTTCGATTGGCATTTCACCTTGTTGCTCAATCTTTCCTTATATCCTTATAACAAAAAAAAAAACTCGTCTCGGCATCACACCATACCACCACGTGTTTCGTGGAATATTCCACCGGGTTGGGGGCTGACGGATTATAACAACTATTTCGTGTTGTAGCGCCACACAACGCTGCAGCCGCCTTTTGACAAAAAACATATTTATTATCGCGTCCCATTCATTTCCACGCTGAATGAAACAGCCATGTGTACACAAAAGGGGATCTCTCGAAAGAATGTGTGCCCCTCTCTTTTCTTGTATATTACCCTCGCGCGTCCCCCATTCATCGCGCCCACGGTCCAAAAATTATTGCTCCTTTTGCCGAAATCCTGTTGAAAACTTAGCCGTTTTTAATTAGTAATTTGCAAGGCTTGTAATTAAGCGGCGAAGTTCCGCTCCTCCCTCAGGCCTAAAACTTCGCTGGCGTGATTTTTGATTGCCATTTAATTAAATTTTCACGTCAAAAACGACGCTTTTTAATTTATAAAGTGGACAAAAGAGATTCTTAATTAGTTTCAAGAAAATTTATAAACAGGGAAGTCAATAATTTATTTTCACAAAGGAAAAATAAATAAAAATAGCTTTTTTAATACATCAATTTAATTTAATACAAAAAATAATTTTGGAGCTAGCATATTTCCTATCTGGGAGATAAAAAGTAAACCTTTTTGTTCCTTTGAAGTCAATATGCAAAAAAATAAAGAGTGCCCTTGCTGTATCAAGCAAGCTGCAGATTGATGTATCTTCATCTCTTGGCATCTTTATTTAATAAAAGTCCAGACGATATTCATTGAAATTTTGATACATCCATTTCGGAATAATTATTTTACTAGAAAAATAAAAGTAATAATACACACACTACAATATTTTTTAAAAAGTTGATAATCATCTTATTTGTTAATTTATTTTAGTAATAAAATTATTACATAATATTAACTTCACTTAATTTAAAAAAAATTATTTAATTTTCTTTGTTTATATTCTTGTATTTAAAAATACCCAATTTTTAAGCCAATCAGCAAACAATTTATTTTTTAAGCATTTTTTAATTATATATAAACACAAAGAGGATGAAAGCAAACATAGTTGCAGTTCCACCAGCACACATAGTTAAAAAACGTTGCTTGTTCATTAAAGAGCTATTATGTCTGTGTCCTATTTCACTTTGAAATTGGAATTTTCCACAGCCGTATAAGAGCCAATTTGGCATAAAAGCTTCATTTAGAATGACTTTCCGCCAACCACTCTTTCCCCGTCATTAAGCATCCTAATGGGCCATTCACACTGTACAAACAAAAAACACCATTATGCAAGAGAGAGAGAGAGAGAGAGAGAGAGAGAGAGAGAGAGAGAGAGAGCCGCGACTTGATATATATGAAGAGGGGGAAAAGGCGCGGGATAGATTACTAAAAAGCCGCTGCCGTTCATTCAGACCTGCAAGAGACTAGAAATGTTGCACCAGCCTATGCACGGGGCCTAGAAAAAAATGCAGCTGCATTTTTCGAGGCTTAGTCACTCGGAGACGATTCTGAGAAAAGCATCTCGCCGCGGTTTTTACTGGAATTATGTATACAAGAAGGAAGGCTGTGAATCAGATTGCTCCGGGCGGCTCTTTCTCTTTTCTTCTCTCCTAACCGGCCCAATCATTTGTTACGACCGCACAACTAGAGCCCTAAGCGGTCGTTTGGCACATTTTCGGCCTTTTCAAATCTCTTTTCGCCTTCTTGGAATCAGAGGTACAACACAGAGAAAAAAAATGTGTAAAGCTTTTTGGACCGACCGCACTCACGTTTCTTCTCTTTTGCGTTGAAAAAGTGTTTTCAAAAAGCTTTGGCCATTAGGCCTTTTCACGTTTACAACGAAATATTCAAAAATTTAACAATAACAAAACCAAACATAAATTTGCCGCTTGGGAATAGCGGCGATATTGTTCTTTTGAAATCATGATTATATGATAATATATAGGCTTTGAACCCATTAACAATAAAAAGCCTATTATGTAATCGAAATCATGTTTCATCGAAAGAGAGTTTATTAAAATATTTGTTTTTTTGTTAGAGAAATCGATTTTTAAATTATTAATTTATATTGCAAGGTAACATAATTTTGGAAGTAATTTTTTTTAAACAAAAATCGTCTTTAAATTTTGTTAAAAAAAATGTTCTCATACATGTTTATTGCATTATGTATTTCAACCAATTCTACAGATGCTCCAAATAATTTATAAATTTTTTAATTTATTTTGAAATGGATTACTTATATATAAAAAACGTCTAAAACATAAAATTGTTTTTGAACAAACATGGATATAGAATAACCATTTATGAGAACGGTGAGCTTTTGTGTTAGAGATGAATGGGAGAGCACATATCAAGCTTTATTGAAGAGACTTAAGCAGACACAAAAGTTGTTATTCAGGTAATCCCGGTTATTCCGAAGCATTTTGTTCGTAATGAACCTCATACTTATAATTCTCCCCTAAAATCTTTGATTAAAAAATAGTAATATTTAAAAAATAATAAACTTATTTTAAGGGGTCTCTAGCACAATTAAAAATCTGTAGCAAACTCTTGGTGTTTCTTTGTTTATTATATCCCTCATTGTTAGGAGGACAAAAAGTTTTTGATCGCAATTTTGATTTTAATCATGACTTTCCCCCCCAGTTTTGAATTTAATAATGAAAGTCATTTCTCTATAAGGCATTTCAACAATTTTTATATAAATTGCAATTCTAAAATTTTGTTTATTTTAAAATGATTCCAGGAGATAAATTCTTCTAAATAAAATGAAAGCTTCTATCAAAATTTCATATTTTTAATATTATCTCACTTTCTCTATAATCAATAAAATTTTATTTGGGCTTTTTCCCTTATTCCCTATAACTTTTCCTGAAGAGTTTTTCGTGTTTACGATTGTACTCTGAGATTCAGGCACTGATCCCTCTCTGGCTCCATATAAAAAAGATCCAGTTTTATGCGTCACTCTTTCTCTCCTTTTTCCGACCGCTCAGGGTTTCAGCTCCGTCGTGTGAGCGCTGGCAGATTTCAACTTTTCTGCCTTTTTTCATACAAATTGCGTTAGATTAGGATTTTAAAAATTGCCCTGCAAGTTGGATGAACGAGCGAGCGCCGCCCGCGCGGTCTGATGTGTCATTTTTATTCCCGGCCTGAAGGGGAATCGATGCGGGGAGCAGGAAAAGAAATGGGCCTGCCGCGACGCCAAGCCAGAGGAAGAGTGATTTTTAATAAAACTTGCTCGGTCCCACTACTTTCGAGTGTCTTTCTTTCTTATACTCCGCCGCTGCCTTTTTCTATAAGGCGCAGGCAGGTATGATGCTGCTCGGTTTCGCGTTTCCGAAAACCCATATAAACAGAGAAACACGCACCCTCTCGAGCGCGACTTTTTCGGACTGTGTGGCTTTTTGGCGTGTGCGAGTTCACGTGGAAAAGTGTGTCAAAAAGACCTTTTATTGGATTGACCTTTCAGCTTTTCCATGAGCAAAATCCACTTTGATTTACATGTTAATAAATATTTGTATATCATATAGTTCCATTAGCAGAACACTCCAATAAAATAATAATTCATTCACGATCAATTTTGATGAAAAAGGTTTTATCAGAGTCAATTATGGCATTTTAGTTTCTATTTTGCAATTGAAATTTTAATGAACTATGATTAAAGACAAATTTTATACCGTTTGAATTTTTAATTTTAAATTAATGCATGTTTATTATTTTCATTTAATTGGATGATGTTTAAAATTAAATTATACGGAGGGTATTCACATGCTATGTTAGCATATCGGTAATTTACTATTCTACATTATTCCACAAAATGTATACAATCACGCTGGATTCTAATGTCAATTTTATCTACACTGCACACTTGTCAGTCAGTTCTACTTATGCAATTTCTCGACACAAATGTCAAGCAGGTTGCATTTTATACACAAATACAATTTTTTCTTGGTTTTATTTTGGCAATGCCTTTATTTTAATTCCAAAACTTCTACAGATTTTCTTTTGACACTGCAACAAAATAAATATAATTTTTATTTTGATTTTTCTGGGAAGCCTTTATGATTAATGGTGTAAGTTAAATAAATACGGATGGTTCTCGACGCTTTTCGTTATTGGTTTTTTAATGAGAAAGGCAATCGTTTAAAAAAATTAGCTCCTACAGAAAAAGCTCTCTAACCTTTTTATAACCTTTAAGCAATTTTCAAACAATTCTCTAATTGCCATAACTGCCTCTCTAATTATCTTTTTTCATTATCTTTCCCCCACTTCCATTCATTCCCAAAAATTCTGCCTCATTTGCAGAAATTATTTGAAATTAAAGCCGATTCTCTCTCACGTCACTGTTGGAGGACATTAGCAGAGCGGAATGGAGAAAAATCACCCACGAACGTGTCAGACTAATTTCCCCAATTTTCCACACCATCAATGCTCCGCCATCGCCAGTGAGACTAATTGACCGCGCGCTAGAGAATCGCCCCGGCGAAAACGAGGACGGCAATAATTTCATCCTTGCGCGTTTCAATTAAAACACGTGTTCGCAATTAGCGATGCTGCGAGCGGCGGGCGGACGGGTAATTAACACACTTCCATCTTGGCGATTATTTGCAGAAGCTTCCTTTTCCAGCAGTATAATAAAACATTAAAAAAACTGCTGGCTCGGGTTTCGTGTTTTATGTCTTTGCTGTTGCCAAGCAAACATTTTTTATAAAAAGCTGAAAGAAAGATGATAGTGGGGAAATGGCGCAAATATATTTGTATGTGAAAGGGAATGCAAGGCTGAGTATGGAAGAAGAAATTTCAGACTATTTTCACTTTCTTGGATAAGCTTAATAGACCAAAAACCGGACAAATTTTGATATATATGTTGCAAAATCTCAGAGGAGCAGAGTTAAACCTAAATCATAATGAATTTTCTATAAATGGGCAGAATTTTGGTAACAGAAAAATATATTTACCGGTGCGGTCCTTTAATTAATTTTTTTGGTAACTTTTTCTCCACTCGGAGAAAGAGGAAAATCATATTTTTGGCCAAAGAGGGAATGGTAGTGGCTTTTTATAACTCATCCATGCAGATGCAGATGGACATCAAAAGAGTGGTCCCTTGGGAGAGTTTCCAAGTGCAGAGCAAATATGTGGGATGGACGTTCTGATTTCCTGCACTTCCCACACAGGCAAAATTATTTCACTAAAACATTTTCTCTTTTTAAGTAAATGCAAGAGACCTTCTAAGTAAATCACATATAGATGTCTAAGTTGTAAATCTGCAATTTTCGTTTCATTCAGCTTCGCAATAAATAAATAATATTTTTTTATTTGAAGCCTATTAAATACGTAAGTGCACGACAAACAATAATAATAAAAATGTAAAAGTGCTTATTTAAAAACGACGCAAAATTTTGTCCATTCTAAAATATATGTTTTGAATATTTCCCACCTCAATTTAAAAATTTTTCTTTCCACTATTTTTACCCAATGAGGAGCAAAATTCATTTTATACTCACAATGACTGTACAAACCTGGTGTGGAGGATTTCAATTATAATTATTTAAAAAAAAAACAATTATTCAAAAATGTCTGAGATAAGCCATAGGGCGTGTGGATGTAATAAAAAAAATCACGATTATACATTGAACACTTCCGCTTTTCCGACAGGCCGGTGATTTTATAGGGTTGGGTGTTAGTACATGAAGTGTTGTTTCGCACCCTCGCACACATTGCAGATAAGGAAGGCGTTGGGTGCCGATATAGAGAGAATGAGAAGAGGCGCTCGTTAAAAAACAATCAAGAGGCCATCAACTCTGATGATGCGTGTGTGTATTTACAATTTATTTATATATCAACGCACCGATCGTTTATTTTTCATTCAAAAACACACGATTCATCTTCCATCGGTGTTTTTAGACTAATTGTAAACGGTGTGGATTTTAAATAAGCAACAAATAACAAGGCATGTCAAAATTGCTTTTAAAAATGAAAATTTGAAATTAATTAGATTTTAAATAAATGTATGTTATTTAATATGCAATCAAACTGCTGAAATATTTTTAATTATTAGTATTTTTATTGTTATCAGCAATTTTAATTTAAAATTTATACATATTTTCAAGGAAGCAAACCAGTTTTTCGTTTCTCTATAATTTGATTATTGTCGAGGTAAATAATTGAAATTATTTTTTACTTTTACTAGCTAATTCAGCTCTAAGAAGTAAAAATTGTCCACCTATGATATTATAAAATTCTATTTTATCAAAACTAAAATAAACAAATTCTCAGTCTACTGTTAATGACCATTTTTATTTATTATATCATCTTCAGATCAGTTATTATCGCATTAAACTGCTTATCTCTTATCATTCCAAGAAATTCCCTGAACTATGTATGCAATTTCTTGACAGATTTGACAGGCCTACCATTCGCGAGTGACCGCCTTTTAGGAGCCCAAAAGAGGTGAATCATTATAGGTATATCAATGCAAATTTTAATTAAAGAACACTGAAATTTTACTTTGCCATTTGAATAGTATGAAGAAGATAATTAATATGAAGTTGATTGGTGAAATTTAAATAGTCTTGGCAGATTTTATAAGCAAAAGGACGCCTCCACCCGGTCTAATTTGCAGATAATTAATCGATTTCCACCAACGCAGGAAACTTGAGTCCGTAAATAATTAGCCATTTTCCCGAAATAGGGCCATCGATATATAATCCGATCCGTTGGCGTGAAAAGCCAAAGTCAAGAGTGACGCGCGCTTTTTGCGGACCAACTCCTCAGCATCCAGTTTAGATTCTGACGGGCGCGCGCATTCTTAAAAGTATCACGTTTCCGACCCTTGTCATTCGGCGTGTTGTTATTATCACAGGCGCGCAGGTACGGAGGTGCTATCTGCCTCGGAAAAGGGAAAAGGAACGAAAAAGGCCTTTCTCTCTCTCTTATCTGCCGGGCAAACAAAATATAATTATCATCATAATTTCTCGCTGCTTTATCGCGCACGCCTCGGCAGGCGGCCGCAATTTTTATTAAATTGTCGAATTATGCTAATATTTCCGCGCCTTTGTGCTGACGAGCTCCGGAATGACTTTCTTTTGTCCGCCACGCACCCTTATATAAACGCGTACAAGTTTGCGCGCTCTGAAAAGGTGCGGGACGAAAAGGCCGTGCGGAAAGTTGATTTCCCGCCAGCTGCGGGCTTATTTTCTTGGGTGCTGTTTGTTTGCAGCTGAACACAAACGAGAGAGGAAGAAAAGACGAAATTTTGCTCTCGAAAATGGCATTAATGAAAACGAGCACTCTGTTTTGATTGCTTGCATTAATTTCATAATTGGTATATCAGTCATTAATATTTAAAATATGGCAAAACGAAGGACCCAAAATTTCCATAGAATTTCTTGTGTCACCATTACGATAAAAAAACTTTGCTGTTTTTTTTTTTTTAGAAATCTGCAATTTAGCAATTATTATATTCATTATTATAAAAGTTTCAAATTTAAATTATATTAAATTTATTATATTTCAATACATTTATTTAACTCTTCAACTGTCTTCAAAATTTAATTATTTTCTTTTTCTTTTGTTTTCAGCCATGGCTGGCCATGTTCCTAGGATTGTCTCAGTCGTCCTCCTGTTGGTTGTGATTTCTCACGCGAGCTGTTCGCCAACGAGATCGGCATCAAGTACTACAGCAGCCAACGCAAGTCGCTTTAAAAAGGTACACTTAAGACTTTTTTCAAACAATGAGACCTTTTAAAATTAATTTTGGGCAATATTCCTTATAACGATATTTTCAACTTTTATAAAAATATTTTTGCTTCTGTCCAATTAGTAGAAAAAAGCGGTGAACAAATTTCCTTTGTTAAAATTTTCCCCTCTCACAACATCAAACTTACTTAGTTCCCTTGAGCTGTGCTTGGCATAACGTAATGTGCTGAAGTTCCTCTCTCGGAGGTTGAATTCAATCAAAGAATGGTGAAAGAATTTCAATATATTGACATTTGGCTCTCCCACTCTCTCGTTAAGCCTCCTTTGAGGGCAGAAAATCGGAATGATGTAGCGAGAGGGTAAAAAGAGAAGGACTTATTTTGAGGCATTTCAAAAGGTGCTGGTGATGCTGAATGGAAAAGCTGATTAATTTGCAACTGTTCGATTGGGAGTAGAATTAATTGGCAGAGAAAGAGCGAATTTTCACTCTGCGGGGCAATACTGTTGAATGCAGTTGAATATGAAAGGTATGAAAGCAGGTCTACAGTTATTCGCCATTTGCTAGTTAAAAATAATTTCAATTACGTTGAACGTTGAAAACCATGTATGTGTGGTTTTTATGACAGAGAAGGAGTGCTCTTGTAAAAGCTCTTTTTGCTATCAATTCACATATGATTTTATTATATTTGTCTTGTTACGAAATAGTAATTGAATGTCCACGAAAAATAATTCAATTATCTGATTTGTTCTAAAATAATTAAGTTATTAAGTAAAGTAGGTGAATATAGTGTAGAGGTTTTAGTGCTGATTCTTATTTATTTTAAAAGGTATCATTTCAACTATTTTATTTATCATCATTTTATTATGCTGACAGTGCTGAACAGAAAACATTGATGAAGGTGTCTTTTTTTCAAAATTATAGCTTATAAATCAAATATTGAGGTGAAATTCTTAGTCGCTCTTAATTAAAACGTCAGATGGTCAGATTGAAAGTTATTTTTGACAGAAATTCAAACCTTCAAAATTCCTTACTCCAATTTTTTTCCTTTAACAAAAATATTTAGTTTATTATTAATTTTTTGCTTGCTATTGTCAAATAGTAATAATGGTAACAATTATGTTACAAAAATTTAAATTTTAAAATGTTCGAAAGAATTTCAAAAGGAGGAAAAAACCTATTTTTTTTTCATATTTATAAATTTTCACTGACTTTCAAATAAGTGATGAAAATTTTTGACATTAATCATGCAATTTATTATCTTCGCAAAACCCTGAGGGAAATTATTATTTACTCCACTTAAGTAAGCACGGCCTGATTTTATTTAATTTTTCTTCTTGTCGTTATCAAAGGGAGACTCGTTTCTGCCTGCGTGTATATTGGAAGTTTGTCTCTTTCGATTTTCATTTTCGATTAAAGTCGGTAAACATGTTGGGATGCCTGCTGGCCAGAATTCCTTCAAGTACGCATACTCATCCAGAAGATTAAAGCCCTTTCAGAAATATTATATAAAAAATAAATGGCTTGTACTCTGCCCGCCGCCGCTTTTAATCTTTCCGAGCGCAGAGAGTTGTTGTCTCAAGTATTTTCGCATATTCTGTTTTTGCCTTCTTCAAACCCCTAGTGGCGAAAAATATATATAAATTTATGAGTTTAAACATAAATCGCTCTAAGGGGGACATGAAAAAAGATTTGGCGAGGAGGAAATCCGCTTTCCTCAGCCAGGCCTGTTGTTTGCGATTGATTTCTTATAAAAAATAAAAGTACTTGTGCCAATAGATGTGTGGAGAGAACTGAGGGGATTAATCTTCTAATCTCGGACGATGCCTCTTATCCGCGCCTCCCTGTGATTGCATTTTCTTTCTTTCCTTTCCTAATTCCGCTATCTATATAAGATTTATTTCTGGATTTTGTGCGCGCTCATCCTTTTTGCGGACACTTTTGACGTCTCGAAAGCAGAGGCACCGCGAATTATTCTGCTCTCGCTCGCGCTGCCTGCCACTTCTTTTGATATTGATTGACATTTTTCTGGCTCGCGGTATTTCACCGTAACACATATATGTACGCTCGCTGAAAAAATATATAAAAAACGCAACTCTCCGCCGTGACATTTTGTTCTTGCGGCCAGAACCTGATGTTTTTTTGCTGCGATTCTCTTTTTTCGGGGGCACAAAAAATATTAGCTGAGAGCTTTATTTTTATATAGAATATTGAACATAGTGGAAGTGGACGTCAGTGGGAAAAACAGACAGAGCAACTGGAATTTCGTTCACTGATTTTTATTACAAGGAATTCACAGATTGTAAAAAAAAAATCACCAACACTTATTTTGAATTTCCATTTTTTCTTTTGTTACAGCAAAATTCACCGTCCCACGATTCAATTTCCAATGATGTCAGTGGTGAGTTTCATAATTATTGCTAGTAAAATTTTATTTTAAATATTTGTATAACTTGCACTTTCTAAACATTCCAATTTCCAAATTTGTTTTGTTGGATTAGCAGACAGCGTTTCAGAGGATTGGGTGAAGGTTTCGATAAAACAGGGCCGACTCGCGGCGACCGCGGGCGGTTCCATGGAGTACACCTGCGAAGCCGTAGGTTCACCGTCGCCCTCAATAGTCTGGCTTAAGGATGGACTTCCAATTCAAGTAAGCATTCATTTTTATAATTTTTTTAGTATCAAGCCTTTTTATATTAACAATTATTGACTAGAATTATTATTATAATTAATATAAATTTTTGTGTTTTTGCAGCAGGAGAGTCCCGAAGACATGTCAGACAACTACATCGTGGTGGATAGTAACAGCAACAACTTGCGCATCAACAGCGAGGGCGCCCTTGGAAAAGTGGTGACCCGCCTGCACATTCCGTGCATCACCATGAAGGACAGCGGTGCTGTCTACTCTTGCTTGGCTACCTCAGGGGTCCGGAGTGCTGTCGACTACGCCCAACTCAGGGTCACAGCCTCCCTAGGTAATTAATACATCTAAAAAAAATGTAAAATTAATATCATTATATGAGATATTTATTATGTATAAGAACAAAAATTCAACTGGTCTAACCACTCTAACCTAATTATGGAATGCAAAAAAAAATATATATTTATTTTGTTTGCATTAAAAAAAATTAAACTAAAATAAAAATTAAATAAACAAATTAAAGAATTTAAAATTTCCATGAAAACTACCCTGATAAATTGGTTTTAATTTTCAATTAATTGTCAACAGATAACTTCTACGGTTGTCTGGAGCAGCAGGCTGAGCCGCCCCAAATCACCACGCACACCCCTACCATCCTGCAGAGCATGGGCAAGGACGTCGAGTTGCTCTGCAAAGCAAGGGGCAGCCCCGAGCCGGAGGTCTACTGGGTCGGACCCAACGGCAAGACCATTATGGATGGACCACGCTTTAGAGTGAGTTTAAATTTTTCAATAAATTTCCGCGCACGCACTATTAACATTCACGGGCCATAAAATTCGCATTGTTTTATTCTGCGTGAAAATTAAACGATTAAATTGCAGATTCCAGTGCCACAAAAATTTATTTCGTAAAAATAAATAAATTTTAATGTTCTAAAACATCCTCAGATTTTATAAAGTCACTTTTTTTTATTTTTTGCAAACAACAAATAACCATTTTTCACTTATGGTAAGGTGCAAACTGCTGTTGAACAAAATATGGGTAATTTGTTTTGCCGCCAGCAGAATCGACGACGGCAATATTTCAAAGCCACCCCCCAAAATCGGAGCAATTCATCAAACGCAGGCCCTTTTGCAAAAAAATAAGCGGGCCTGCCAGCAGCATCGGCGCATCCTTTCCCGATCTACACACTCGCGCCCTCAAGGTCTCTACAGCTCATTAATGCACGAGCGGGCTTCGTTTTATCATCCGGGCAGGCCTGCGAGGAGGAATCGAAAAATTTCCAATCCATTAAACAGCAATTTGACTTGAGAGCAAGGAAAATAGCCCTGAGACAAAAAGCGTATTGATGATGGTGCGAATTATGGTGCCAAATTTAGTGTGAAAGGAGGACCAGAAGGAAATTAGATCGCTCCTCTCTCTTGCCAACCTTTTCCTTATTCTATTTCAAAAGAAAGCCCTTTCTTTTTTCTTTCTTTTTGAGAGTAAAAGAGTGGAAGAAAAAGAACGTCCTCCGCGTTCGTTATCTTCGCCGCCCTCTCGAGATCTCTTCGCTTTTACTATTTTCTCGCCCGGCGTCTAATGTGCGACGGTTTTGTGTTCCAGGTGCTGGAGAACGGATCCCTAGTGATCACCAGACTCACGTGGGACGACATGGGAGAGTACAAATGCAAAGCAGACAACCTGCTGGGAGAAGATACCGCCAGCACCTTCCTCTACCCCATGCTGGTAAGAAAGAACATCCAATTAATAAATTTAAAAAAAAAAAATAAGCTATACGCAATAAAAAGTTTTTTTTATAGAAACTATGATGATGTGGTCTATTAATTTAAAGCATTTAAAAAATCCACTTGAATGTATTTTAAAAATTTGAATTTTGAATTCTAAAGTCGGTGCAGTTTTTTTTTAACTAGATTAATTTTATTTGTTAAAAAATAACATCTGGAGCAATGCCAAGAAACGCATAATTCTCATCCTGCCAAGCGTCTCTCCTTTTATTTTTGCTTTCCCTCCTAAAGGGGTTGTTTTACATTGTTTTTTTGTTCATATTCGTATCATATAATACTTGTTGAGAGAGGCAAAGATCTTAATTCAAAAAGTCTTTTTAATTAGTGTTTTTCAAGAAGGCCAAAGCATAATTCACCGGTGCATGTGTTGGAACAAAAGAGTAAAATTACTGTTTTCCTCTCTCGTGCGTGCATGGAAGTGGAAAAGGTACCACATAGCATGCACTTCATTCAAGGACTTTTTTGTTTTCCGCAAATTCTAAAATATTATGTTTGAAAAATAAAATGCAAACAAAATTTCCACCTGAGAGATTTTTGCTAAAACAAAAATCTCTGAATTGAAACGGTGGAAAAAGGCTCTATTTATGCTCTTGTATGCTTTTTTTTAAGTAAAATTATGAAAATTCTAAATAGAGACATTTCTTTCTTTTTCATACTATTACAAGAAATTAGAAATTTAATTTTCAATTTACGCGCTATTATAAAATTTAAGAAATTTTTTCATATTTTTTCAGAATGAGGAAAAGTGAAGGCACTCGATGGGCTGCTGCGAGACGACTTGACTGATTCCACGAAGAATACAAAAAACCATGTGCATTTCAATTATCCGCTGTCATAATTATTTTTGGATAGTGCGAGGTGGGTCCTGCAAGGAGACACCAACTACAAAACCAAACGACTTAAACTCGACCTCCATGCTGAGGATATGATCAATGTGGATAAATTAAGTGAAGAAAAAAAACAACATTAAAATGAATATATAATTTTAATGCAAACTCGGCATTTTCATTCTTAAATTTCCCCTCCTCCTCTACGGTACATTTGCGATTACTTATTCATCCATGCAGTGAAGATGACAGATTTGCATCCATAACCCGGCTTCCGCGTGGAATGTATTAAGACTGCTGAAAATATACATCTCTGGTGTTTAATACATGAGAAGTGCATAAATCGACCTCTTTTTGAATAACAATATCACAGAGTTTGGAATAATTGGCGTTTAGTCTGCTTGTGTGAGCTACAGTACATTATTTTACGTTATACATAGTTGCCTCTAAAGGTGCTGTTGGTGTTTCGTGTTTGCTGCAAATCCCGTTTAAAATGCACTTAAGAGGTCGTCGGGAGCTAATTAGAAGTGCTGCCGTAACGACGGCGTTTACACACGTTTGCCGACACTAAATTGATTCCGCGTACCAGCGTGCATTCAAAGTACGGCTAAATGGTCCATTAAGAGCAGCACACTCGCGGCAGATAAGAAAATGCGCAGAGACACGGGTGGCAGCCGTTCCCCTGCTTAAGCACGTAGGACGAGGTATTTCGAACAAACTGCGAGGACAAGCAATTTTTATAAACTTTCCGTAAGCTGCCAAGCTTATTCATTTCACTCGTTTTTTCTTCTTATAAACCTCATAGCATAAAAGCTGATAGGAAACATAAAGTTCAACTTTTACAATTTTAAACGAAAGTACACTTTGACTTCGGCAATGGAAATCTTGCTTTATAAGGCAATGTAAAAAAGCATCTAAAGACTTTGTACCTATATTTTGGCTCTTCTCTACTTTGTTCAAAATTGTTGATTAAAATTAAGTACACACTAAAATATAAAATTAAACTAAATTTCAACTGCTTCCCGCATGACATCATGTAGTTTTGAAAACAAAATTAGCATTCATAGATATGATAATCTGCCAATTGCTCAACAATTAAAATTTAAAAAATATATATTTTTTGCATGTAAACCGTTGCAGACTAGCTTATGCGAGTCGATTAACTACCAAACTCAAGTACAAGAATAATTATGTGTAGGAACAAGATAGTTTGAAGTGCTTTCCAGTATAAAGAATGCCAAAAATAGCTAATTATAAACCCCCCTGTCTACTAATGTGCCACTAGAGCTGAAGTGGGGGTCGAGGAAAAATTTACTGGCGCTTGAGCTGCCACTTTGATAGCTGATAGTGTCCTCAAGGTCAGGGTCATCCATGTCGTACTTGACGAAAGTGTGTTCGAGAAGCTCGTCTGCCGAGGCACGTTTGTGCGGATCGTGCTGCAGACAGAGATCAACGAAGCTGTGGCCCTCGATGCTCAGCGAGTCGGGTACTTTTGGGGTATCCCCCATGCCGACTTTAAACATGATCTGATAATTGCTCTCGTACTCTGGCCAAGGTCGCTACAAAGAAATAGAGAAGTTGATTTTTTGGAATTGAATTATAAGGCATTAAAAATAATACCTTTCCCGACGCCATTTCAATTACAACACAGCCAACCGACCATATATCAGCTGCTCTGCCGTGGCCTTCAGTGTTCGTCTTCATAAAAACTTCTGGAGCCATGTAAGCTGTAAAATAATTTGTTGCAATAAAGACACAAAGTTGTTTAAAATAATCCAACCTTGAGTGCCAACAAATCCTTGGAGTTCTCCGGGCATGGTGGTGTTGGCCCTTATTTTGACTGCCGAACCAAAATCGCCTAACTTCAAGCAATTTCCTTCATCCGTCAGGAAAATATTTGCGCCTGCAGAAAAGAAATATTTACACAAAACTATCCATTTCTAAATTTATGGGCAAACTTTTAATATCTCGGTGAACAATTCCATTAAAGTGCAATGTGGAAACAGCCAACAAAAGCTGCCTGGTGTAGCTGCGAACCAGTTGCTCTGGCAGGCCATTAGTGGTTGCGGCAACTAAGCTTTCAAGAGTGCCTTCCTCGCAATACTCCATGAAAATTAACATCTCCTCCTGACCAAAAAATTTCATTTAAGTCAGAAGTGCAAAAGAAAACTGTTTACTCTGTGAATTTCAACACCGTAATAGCGAATGAGGTGTTTGTGCTGAATCCCCTCAAAGATGTGCAGCTCCTCTGCAATTTTCCTGATGGCCTTGTGGTCGTTGGGTTGAAACGAAATCTCCTTCATCGCCATCAGCTCGCCTGTAGCGTTGTTAACGGCGGTGTACACTTTCCCGAAACGACCTTGGCCTGTGTGCAAATATAATGTTAAAGAGCGAGTCATGCGTCAGATGTTTTAAAATTCATGAGCGCAGAATAATTTACCGATTTTTATTCCTCGTTGCCAACTGAAAGTAACAGCTCGAGCTTTGATGTGCACTTGGTCGGGGGAATGGATTTCGGTCCTTTTGCCAATCAGCTCTTGATCATGCAATTTTTCCTCCAGCCTTTTGTCAAGCTGCTCGACCGCATCCTTCACTCTGTCTGACCATTTAGCGTATCCTAAATATTTAAATTTGTTTATATAATGCAGAATGATCTATGAGATTTTGTTCACTTTTAGACAGGTATATTAATAAAAAAAAGCTATTTACATTCAAATCCAAGCTGGATCTGTTCCGAAAAAACTTTTCGTATAAAACGTAAATTACCTATTTTTAATGAAAATCCTTGTTGTGTGTAAAATAAAGTGAAAAATCATTATTAAAAATTTTATTAAATGGTGGCGAACTCCACCAAAGTAATAAGACATTGATTTGAAAGATTAAAACTAGGATTCAACCTGTTTCTGATATAAATCCTGCTAGACTGATTAAAAATGTTGGGACACCATTATGTGCATGTTATGTTAAAGAGTGGAATTTAAAAAAAAGTAATTATATTTCTATGGAGTTCTACCTACTTCTTAATGGAATCCGAAGAGTCTCAACAACATGCCCGTCAAGTCCATTAGGCACCGACTCCATCCTCTTTCGCATGGGTAGTGGACTATCTAAGAGCTCTGGAGTGCCTGGGGCAGAAGTTGAGCCAATGAATGGCTGCGAAACTGACCTGACCGGAGGGTTCATGCCTGAGTTTTCTGGCATTGACCGCGAAGACCGGAACTGCTTCCTCCCAAGAGGGGATGGCGACGTTCCTCGAGACCGGCACTCGATCAAACTGTTCCTAGGCGACTTGTCCGAAGCCGAGCCAATGACGTGCGTGATGCAGTCGTCAATCTGCAGCTTCAGTTCTTCAAACTCCTCATCAGCCAAGTACTTAGTCTTTTCAGGCTCGCAGGCAGTGATCAAGAATTCCAGACCCTGGTTCGCCCAACGGGGCCGCAAACCTCGGCCTCGCTCGCACCAGCCCCGGACAAATCTCATCCACTGCTTGGCAAACTCGACCATGCCTTTTGCCTGCTTGCTTTTGGCTTCACCAGTTACGAGGCGGCAGACTTCTTTGTTATACTGAAAAATAGCAAAGCGTGAATACAAATCAATGCTTAAATTTAATATTACAAAATTCATCATTTTGTGTTGAATTTTGAGACTTACCTCAAAGCCAAACTTGTAGCATTGGTGAAGAATTTCGCGAATTTTGGAGATCAGAGCCATACGGTCCTGCTCATCAACGTCTGTCATATTCCTAACGTCGCAACTCTTTTCGACTGACTGGATGCTAGTGGTCACACACCGCCTCAGGTTGACTGCATCCATCTTTAATTAAAAGGAGGAAAAAATTTAGCTATGTAAATTTTGAAATAATCAATTATGGTAAAAAATTTTCACAACAACTTCCACTTAATCGAAATGAATCTTTAATTTTAGGGTTCAAAAAATTTATAACTAAGCCAATATAATTTATTATTAGTATTACCTTTAGTTCTTCTAGAGAGTCAGCAATGGTGTAGTTTGAGGGGAGACTTTCTTGCGCTAGTGCAACAGTGCTGCCTAAAACGCTGACCAAGTGTCTCCTGTGCCTACACAGCTGAGTTGAATCGCAAACAACAAGGAGAACGCCGTGCACCTCTACATGAGATAGAGTGATGGTTGTTTCTGCTGTGGGCTGAATACTGATTGTTTCTCCAGGCCAGGTAACATCTTCCTCAAGACACTGTACCAAAACCAAGTAGTGAGGGTTTTGCATGTCTGCTGGGTCGAGATTGGAGCCGCAACTAGCAGACGTGAGGTTCATATTGACAAGGCGACACACTAGCTCTGGCTTGGTCTTTAAGGAAGCTGTTAAAAGTTTAAAAAATATTTTAGATAACATTCACTCAATTGATTAATTGAGGCCAAACACTTATAAAGTTTAAACCATTTGGATTTTTTAATGTAAATTTAATATTTAATTAATTTTGTCTTTACCTGGCACAAACATCAGGTGGCTACATGAGTGAGGGGCGACAACACGCACATGGTCTGCTTGTGATAAGCGCAGCAAAAATTCATTTAACGGAGCCATTAGTGAGAAAGACGAAGCAATTTCCAGATCCTTGCGCAATGTCTTGGCAAAAGATATAGCCCTCAGAGCTCGCTCTCGGGCTTCGTGGAATATATTTTGAATATTCCTACACGCTGATAGAATAGACTGCCTAGATTTTTAATTAGAGTAAAAAAGGAGATGAGAAAATATTTTATTTATTTAATATTTACTTATGATCAAAAGCCTCATCTGCGCCGCTGCTCTGGTCATCTTGCAAGTCATTATCAACATTACTATCCTCCAAAATGCTGCTCAGGTCATCAACACCTGCATTTAGGTGGTCCACAATTGCACTCAACATTCCACTCGCCATTCGACTTAAATATTTGAAAACAATTAAATAATTAAGGCCTTTTTAAATTTAGTTATTTACCAGAAACTATTGGCAGCAAGAGCTTCACCACCTGGGATGAACGGGCAGGTATGTTTCACAAACTTCCACTCCTCCTCTAGCAGAGATTTCTGATATGGACAGACTACTACACTTTCCTTCTGGACAATCAAAACCCACTGCTGCAAATACTCCAAGTACACTTCCAAAATGCACTTCATGCTCCTGTCAAAGTCTGCCACGTCCTGTTCAAGTCGGTCGGTGACTTCCTGTGTTTCTGTCCAGGTTGCCGACCTCAATAAGTGCATGTACCGTTGCCGCTGTTTTACCCCTTCGTGCAGTCCATCTTTCATTTCGCGCATCAACTGAAAAGGCAATCACAATTATTTTAGTTCAAACAAAATTTAAGAGCATTTTGTACCTGTCTTATACTGAGAGCAGACGGTTCTGACGGCTTTTGCTCCAAACGCAGCCTCAGGTACTCATGAATTAGGTCCAGGGCGATTCGGGCAAGGAACAAAAATGCAGATTTGTAAGAGGGCAAGCACATGCTTTGAGCCTCCGGACTCCACAAGCCAAACCGTTTCAGTTCCCAGTCCTCAGTTTGCATCTAGAAAAATTACAAGCTGCCTTCAGAAATGAATAATTCAAAAAATTATAGACTGATCTGTTTTAGTGTAAAATTAAGAATTAATCTAATTTCATTGAGATATTTTAAATATGGAAGTGCTTAACATTACCTCTTCTTCTGTAGCGTCCTCCAAAGGAATGGTGGCTTTGTCCAGAGTGATTTTAGCCTTACTAAGCAAGTGGAGGTGCAGGCTATCCAGGTAACCAATAGCCCTCTTCAGCCCATGCGTCTTCAGCACTTCCTCAATGTATGCCCTGTATGGAGACATGGCACACGGCGCTACATGACCTGTCCCGTCTTTCAGATGCGAAGTGTCGCAGCACCTGTCTATGCCTGAAATACTGCCTCTTGAACTAGACGAAGAAATGGCCGACTCGTTTCCTGTGCCGTGAAACGGAAGGCCAAGGCCAGTGGACGCATTAGAGCTGTTCGAGTCTGACGGACTGGTTGTTGTCTCAATTTCTAGGTCATGTAAACGGAATTTGACCTTTGTTTCTTTGGGCCTGGTATGAGAGATATAAAATCAATTAAACATTGTAAAATTATGACATTGTATTAGTACTTTAGATCAGGTGCATCTGGCATTTTAAATGGATCGGCTGAGGCAACGCTACCAGTGGAAGGGGTCGTTGATACGGAGGCTCCGCTATCTTCTTCCAACCGTGGCCAGTTCCCACTTCGAGAACGATGACTCCTTTGGTTCATTTGATTAAGTAATTTACCAATAATGCTAACCTAAAGCAATAAAAAAATAAAAATAAATAAAATTTACAATGCAGAATATATTAAATATGGAAAATTACTTTTAGTCGGTGGAGTCTAATCATGTTGTACCACAAACATAGTGCCTTTAATTTGTTGGTAAATTCTTTGGATTTGTAGAGGGGGTATTCAGCAGCCATAACTCGACTAGACGGATAAAGTGCGACTGCTTCCTCAAGTCTCGAAAGCAAATTTTCAACCTTCAAATTAAAAATTATTTTTCAATTGAAAAAATTACCAATTGAGTTAATAACCTGCTCAATGGCCAAATTTTGGTTCCTACAGCAAACATTACAAAACATGGAGAGGCAGTTGCATTCGGCGGCAACCAGCTCCGTACCACTGTCCACGCTGTCTTTATCCCTCTGGTTGGCAGTTGCACAGAACTTGTAATTAGCAATTTCTTCCAACAGATTCGCAACATTTTTTCTCTCTTCGAAAAGATACATATCTTGCTCCGGTAGTGATTTGTCAGCTAAGAACGCTTGCAGCTCGAGCCAAATCATGTCCTTGAGCTCGCTTTGCCATAAGGTTTCCTCTTTGCTGAGCTGTAAGCCAAGGCCAATGATGATTGACAGCTTCAAAACAAATAAATAACAAACCTGTCGGCGGCAATTGTTTTTGTCTTGATTACGGTCGGGATTACCCATTCTGATCAGCAGAGAGAACGTGTTGTGGAAATCAATTCGGTTCTGCGGACACTGCGTGTCGCTCGAGATGGGCTTGTCCAGATTCAACCTAGCAAAAGTGTCCATGATTTTGTTCTCTCGATCACATTTTACCACTTTCGAGGCCAAACTCATAAAACGATTGACTGTTTCAATCTAAATTTAAGTTATAGTTAATTATACAATTTGATTATTTTCAAAATAATAAAAATTTAAAAAAAAAATGAGTTACCTTTACAGCTGGGGCTGGCATGCTGTCTGCCCTCTCTTCATTAATAACGCTGCCAATACTAAAAACATTTGAGCTTGATTGTCCCCCCATATCCAATTTCCATTCACGCTCCGACTCCCTCAGCAGTTTCATAGATCGCTTTCGAACTCTTTGGCGCCCTTCGGCTGATATTTAATACTAGCGTCAGAATGTGTTTATAAGATTGATTACAGATTGCCTTACAGAATTCGTTCTCTTGGGGGTCTGAATGGTCCTTTGCAGGGCTGCATTCGGCAACTGATTTCCTCCTATTCTTGCTGCCACTTCGGCTTCCACCAGCCCTGCTTGCCCTGCTGTCGCCAAACTCTGGGGCTCGGTTGCGTTTGTCTTTTAGATTCCGAAGAATTTTGGTCCTCGGTGGCGTTCGGCCCATGTCTAACTCGGGGTAATATTCCCCGCTAAGACTGAACTCTTCGGACTCATTCTCCGGAGGAGAAAAGGCAGCTAGTTGTCTGCTCTGGTGGTGTTGTTTGTTTCTTCTGTTGATCGGAACTCTGCAAAGTTTTTGTTTTCATAACATTGTTCGATTGAATTAAAATACTTATAAGAGTAATATTTACCCTTTCCCGTCAGTCTCGTCATCTTCCGAGCTGCTGGTGATGTTAATTTCAACGCCGACTCGGCGCTTCCAGTCCTGATCAGCCATTTTCGACGGCGAAAAGCACTCACTTGGCCATAAACGGGCCTAAAAATTCATTTTAACAGCATGACACGGGAAAATAGCGGTTTTGTTTACCTAAATGAATTCCCCGCAAGGTCATTAATCTCCAAGTTTTTGGCGAGATAAATTTTCAAACATAATCCAGCTGTGACAATTCCATTCGACCAATCGCCAATCACATTCCTCTGGACCAATCAGAGCCCGCTTCTCTGCTTACGCCCCGCGCTTTTTAGTTCCACTGCGCCACTCCAGAGGGAACTCTAAAATTGGCCGTTTTTTAATTAATAGGTTTATTAAGCCAATTCTTGATTATCAGTACTATTTATGCCCAAAACTGGTAAATTTGAAACTTAGTTTATAATTTTATCAATTTCACACGGATTTGGGATAATTAAAGGAGTGAATTTTATAATTAACGAAGGCATTCCGGCGTCATTTCAAATAGGATGCCATTTTCGCGCTCGAAGCGCCAAACAGAGGAAGCTTCACTTTCATAAACATTGGTAAATTTCTGAAAATTTCGATCGACGTTGTTCAAATTACCGTTTTTACTCGCAATCCGAACTGGTAAGCATACGAATCGTGATTTTTTCTTCTTTTCTTCGCTTGCAAAATTCCACTCAGTCTTATTCTTCGGTGATTGACGCGACCAAACTTGATAAATTTGGCGGTAATATGCAATTTTCGCACGGACGCGAGATCCGCTAACGTTCCCTTTTCCCTTGTCAAAACATCCGCTGGTTAAATATAGCACGCATTTATATACCTTGTGATAATTACTACTTACTTACATATTTTTTACCGTTTCAGATGTTGTGAGAGAGATGGAGGGAGGCGAAACCAAGAAAAATGTCCCCTACTTTGTTATCAAAGTTAATAACGACGGCACCATCACCCAAACAAAACAAACGTCACCGATGTCGAGTCCCACCAAACCTCACATCATCCGCACTCCTGAGAAGAGAACTAAAGACGGGCGGGCAATTTCTATAGAGCAGAAGGACAGTCTCGGCTCGTCAACAATAAAGATACACGAACCTGTCGGAACTTCGGCAGCTTCGATGCTGAGCAATGTCCTTGTAGAGGCAGAGCTGCCCACATCAAAGGGCACTAAGCCATTGATTGTTGAAAGCAAAGGTGTGTTAACCTTTTTAGAGCCTGAAATATTTAAATAAATAAGCTGTATTCAATTTAGTTACTGCGAAGCAAGCTACGCTTGTCAGGAAGTCTCTTGGTCTCCCGAAGATCAACGTCCCTTCGAAGCTGGTTCTTGTCAAACCAGGAAGTAAGATTTGAAAGTTTCCTAGTGATAATCTCACCTTAATAAATTTCTTTCAGTGGGAAACACTGTTACGACTACTGCTGGACCACAAATTTTCAAGATCCAGCCGCAGACGACCACCGTCAGGCAAGTGATGCCAAAACAGTCTCGTAAAACGCCTCGTAAGTTTCCCCACCTTTTTTCTGTCTTATTTATTCTTGAAAATTAAATCAGTCACTGCCCGAACAACTGACGATGGAATAATTGTAGAAGGTGAAGCGAACAAGCCAATTGGAAGCCAAGGGATTATCATCCAAGTTTCACCAGCATCAACTGCTGGACCTGCACAGAAAGTGAAAATCACTTCTCAAAAAGGTATAAATATTAATTTAAAGTTCTTTTTCTTTTTGTGTCAAGAAAACAGAAAAACATGTTTTTTTAAACCAAAAATAAATACATGCTACAATTATAAATTCAAAATTTTCTTCAAAATAAATTTTCAGTGGCAACAGCAGCTGCTGGAAAGAAAGGCAAGGTGGAGCAGAGCACGTCAGGAGTGCAGATTATTAAAACAGTGCAGGAGATAAAACCAAAAGTGTCTCCTGTGGTGCGTCAAGTCATAAAGCAGGCTATTCCGATCACATCAAAAACCACCACTGTGCCCATCCCTTTGCCAATTAAGGGTAATTTATTGATCATGTACCAAATTTGCACAATTTTACTAAAAAAAATATTCAGGAACTAGTTCGCCTGTGAAGGTTGTGATCGTAAAAGAAGGGATGCAGCCAAAGCCAATTGCACCAAAGCCTGCTCCAATGACGATTTCCCTTGTACCGCCTCCTGTTGTCGGCAAAACAAGTCTTGGCACCCCTATAAAAATTGCTCCCGCCCCAGGAGCTGGAGTTGCCACTTCAACTGCGCAAAGGGTAGTGCAAATTGTACCAGGAATCAAAAAATTGATGGGACCAGTAATAAAATTGCCTGAGAGGACCAAATTAATATCCTCTGCAGTTGTTTCCACTCAGGGTGCCACGCCTGTTGCGCCTGGTAAATATAATCTTTTACTAAAGAAAAATATAAGAATTTATTAAATAAATGTGTTTAGCTGCTGCTGCCCCCAAAGGCAGAGGTAGAGGCCGTGGCAAAGCCGCAGCTCAGACCAAAGAGGCCCCTGCCAAAGTACCAGGAAAGCTAGCTGGTTAGAGTCTGTTTATTTCTTGTTTACCACATTATGACAAAAATTTTATTTTTAGAAGTTGTGGAAGCTATAAAGCCTGAGACGAAGCCACCGAGCCCTGAAAAGGAAGTCATCTCACCTGCTGAAGTTGAAGTTGTTACAGAGGTTACGGAAGAAGTCGTCACGGCTTCAGAACCTGCAAAACCAGTTGGCAGGCGTGGGAAAAGAGGAGCCAAAGCAGCAGAGATTGCAAAGGAACCAAATCCCAAAGAGGCAGCTGTAGATGATGTGAAGCCAGAGCCTGTTAAGGAGGAGCCTCCAGTTGCAGTGGCTGCACCAGCAAGGCGGCCTGGTCGACCAAAACGTGCTGCGCCTGAACCAGGTAAATTTGGTGTGACTTAATTCCTGCAAAAAATTAATATTCATTTTAGTTGAAGTACAAAAAGTTGAAGAGGTTGAAGTGAAGGCCGATGAGCCTGCTTCTGAACCAGCTCCTGCTGCCACCAGGGGCCGTGGAAGGGCACCAAAGAAGGCAGCTGAACCTGAGAAGGCCACTCCTACGCCCGCCAAAAAGGCAAAGATCGAGGAGAAGAAGCTGCCTGAGCCAAAGCAGCCAGAGCCGAAGGAGGTTGAAAAGAAACAGCCTGAGCAGAAACAGGTTGAAAAGAAGCAAGTAGAGGCAAAAAAGGTTGAAAAGAAGTCAGCAGAGCCGAAGAAAGCTGAAAAGAAACAGCCAGAGCCCAAACCAGTTGAGAAAAAGCAATCTGTTCAGGAGGAGAAAAAGGTTCCCGAGCCGAAAGCTCCAGAACCTCCTAAGAAAAGAGCACCTGCTGCAAAAAAAGAGACTGTGACCGCTCAAAAAAAGGTTGAAGTTGAAACTCCCAAGAAGTCTGGTGCCAAGCAAAGTAAAACTTTTATTAGATTGCATTTCTATATTTTGATTTTTTGACATGCTTTAGTTCCCGAAGATAAGGGATACTTGTTCTCAAGACCTGCTCCGCCAGGATGGTCCCGTGACGTCACTCAAAGGAAGTCAGGTGCTTCAGCTGGAAAATACGATATTTATGTTTTCAGGTAAGTTTTTCATCAAAACAATAGTAACTGAAATCAATCTTGTTCATTAGTCCTGATGGCCTGAAGCATCGTTCAAGAGCCGACATTCATCGCTACCTAACCTTAAACAAGGGGAAGTATCCAGGAATCACTCCCGAAGACTTCGATTTCTCCATAGCCAAGGAAACTCCTAAAGGCAAGTCTGACACAAAGGAAGTTCAAGAAGAGCTCTCTAAAACTAAAGCAGCAGCCAAGAAGGTTTCTGGTAAAGCTAGCAAGAGAGCGAGCAACACAAAGCTTGTAGTTTCACTACCCCCAAAGAGGACCCGAAAGTAATACTATATTGTAGATCTGACATAATATGAACTACGCAAATCACCTGGTACAACATAAAATTTCCTGGTTTATTCTTTAGGTGTTTTGATTTGAGCTTTATGAAAAAAGTTTTCTAGCTATGACAATTTTATTTTCTTTTTAATGCATGAGTGTTAAGTGAAAATCTTTAAATATCGTGTTATTTTAAAACTGTAACCAGTGTAAATTATGGATTTTAGAATAAAAATAAAGTATGAAATTTAAAACCCCTTATTTTAATTAGCAATTTTGAATTATAAACTATTTATTATCAAGACCTGTGATAGTTACTTGGTTTTGGTCTACAATTAAAAAAAATAAACTCTTTAGAGTAATTTATGTAATTATTTTTTATTGCTTATATATGTACAGTAAGTCTTAATTTATTATTACCATTCACATTTGCAAAGACTCGCAGACGATAATTAATAGAGCCGCTCTTTGTATCTGCAAATTTCGACCAGTCAGAAGAAAACCACTCAAGGCTTGTTATACCTAACACGGTACCGATCTTGAGATCCACAATACTCATTGTAAATCAACTTGATCAAAAACATGTGGAACACTACAATAAGGAAGGAGATGGACACCCAGAAAAGCGTCGGTAGGCCGCCCAGGTGGTGGCCGTGCTTGTGCAAGGCGATGATGTGGTGCTCGTGTGCTGGAGCTGAAAATAAAATTTATTTTATAGGTGCAAAAAATTTAAATAAACAAGTAACCTTCATTTATTTCTTGAACATGGATTGTGTGTCTCAGCTCTTCCATGTGCTGTTTGTCGTAAGTTATGTAAAGGATCGAAGTCAGGGGCTCAGTCAGTTTTACAGGGAAGGTCTTGAACTCAGGTCTGAAACAAAGCCCATTTAGCAAGCACGGTTCAATTAATTTTAATGAGAAATACCCTAGTTGCACGGGTGTATCTAGGCAGCCAGCGTCACAGGCATAGTAATTTTTGTCACTACGATCGAGGGAAACAAGGAGCACTGCTTTATTGTCTTCTTGAACAACTACACTGATGTTGACGTGAGTCAAATTTCCATAGCTTACTCGTCTGAATAATTATTTTAATGAGTCAGTTAATTACAAAAATCAATTAAAATATTACCGGAAATGAAAGTCTCGGTGAAGATATTTTGGGTGGATATTGAATTCCAAGTGCTGATTACTAAACCTCAAACCTCCAAAACTGAGAACCATTGCCTCTGCAACCCCACTGGCTCCAGCTTTTAGCAAATTGTGGCAACCCTAAAAGTTCAAAATGATAAAAAAAATTATATAATAAGTTTAAATTTAAATCAGTTTTTCATGTATGGATATTAAAATTTCAGTCATTGGTCATTGATAATGCAATATTTTAAATAACAGTTCAATAAAGTCAAGGTCCGCGCATCAGCAACAATGAAAAATGATTTGATTGTTGTTTGAGCTCTCTGATTGGGTACAAGAAAAGTTGTACCCAATCAGAGAGCTCGACAACAATCGAAATTTTCTGACGAGCGGACCTTGAATAAAGTCAATCCTGCAATTCACCTGTTTCTCAAGGGTTAGAAGCCAAAGTGAGACTGCGCTGTTGACATCATTCAAAGTTGACAAAGGCGTCCACAAATTTTGAGCTTGTCTGCAAATGAACATTATATTTAAAAACCCAGTTATGAACACTATTTGATTGTTACAAAGTATGGAGACCACCGTAGCAACCTTCCGAGTACAAAAGAACTCTTTGGAGCTCAGACCGCTGCAGGGTTGGAATGTATGGAGTTTGAGACATGACATAATACATGGTGGCATTGATCTGATCTCCGTTGATGGACTCGGCAGCCAAAGACTGGCTGATGCTGAAACCCATGCTCCAAAGTTGGCGCCAAGTTGAAATATGGCTTTCGAGCAGGTGAGAGCGCTGACTTTGGGCTTGTTTCATGGCCTAGACAGTTTTATTCTAGAATTAATATTTACATCTTTGTAAGTTCAAAATTTTACATCGACCGCCCGTTGCTCAGTTTCGCGCTTCTTGGCTACAAATTCCGAGCGGCTCACAGGTTCCGAATAGTTGATGCTGGTGAGAAACTCAAAAGTGGCGGACGAGTGGGCATTGACCTCAACCAATTCTGGGACTGCTTGCAAAACTGTTGTAACGGCAATGACATGGTCGAGATTTGACTTTGGAACATCCACCATTGCTGAGGCCACGGTAAATGACTGACTCTTTTTGGAGGCCAATGGCAAGCTGAATTATACGGACAACGGACAAAAGAAATAAAAGGTTTTGAAATTAAAAGAAATTTTAAAGTAACCAAAAATGGTATTTTCTTTTCTTTTTATGTCTAGATTTGTTAAAAATAATTTATATTTTACTTGATTTTGTGGGAATCCGCAGATGCCCAATTTCTGACACCCCTCTGGCGGAAGGTGATAGTGGCTGGGAAGTCACTAGGATTTGTAATTTGAATTGACTGGACAAATATGGACGGCAGGCTGCGGTGGGCATACATCTGGTGGGTTGTGTGGACGCCACTGCTGGCACACTGCAGTTTGTGCACCATACCTTTTGAAAAGCACAGTATTTTGATTTTATTTGGTTTATATCAAGAGTTACCGGTGACATATTGAATAACAGTGGCCTCCTCCCACTGACTTGACGACAATTGCGTGTCAACTACCGGTAGGCACTTGATCGGAAGCGACAAAGTCCTTCCGTTCTTCAAGTAAACGTTTCCATCCGGAGATGCTTCTAGTCCGAAGTGTCCGTTGCCGAGGTAAGGAACATAAGTTTTTTCACCCTCGTGTTGAGGGTCATGTTGCAGGTGAGCATTGTACTCTGCTATGTCCAGAGTGAACGCCGTCAGACGGTCTTTTAGACAAGTCTGTGCAGTACCTAAAAACAAAATACAATATAGCACAAATCTAAATATGCTTAAAAAAAATTAAAATCCAATATTTAATAAGCTGGCAAATTGTATATCTTTGTTGAGATTTACCTGAATGATTTTTGTGGTAGTCTAAAAAAAATATGTTTGAAATATTTAATAATCATGCGTAAAAATTTATGTGCACAAAAATTATAGTTAATGATAAATAATTATTCCTGGATCATAAAAAAAATTTTTTTTACTGAGACATTAAGAGGGGAGTCAAGAGCATGTTTTATCCTTCAATTTGTGTATACATACCTTCTTCTTCAGAGTAAGCAAATCGTCGCAAAAATTCTGGCAGCGAGTAAAGTACTAAGCCGCAAACCACAAGAACCAAAACAAACAGCCTTCGGTACCTGCACAGAAAAAAATTAAAATTAATTACTTAATCATGAGACGTGGCCCAAAAAGTATTAACTAACGTGAAATAATTATCGAGGCTTCGTTTTAGCCGACGCAGCCACTCAGTGAATTCCATTTTTTTCGGCGTCGTCCGGATTTCTTAGTTTTTATTCAACAGCTTTCAGCATCGCTGTGATTTGGAAATGCAGCGCATTTAACCATTTGGAAGATTTGGAAAGTATTCAATCGTGTTTTTTTGCAAACTCTTGCCGGTGACGTTCAATAATACAACTTCGATATTTACGTTTTTGCATTACGTCGACTTGACACGGAAAGGTATGGGCGTAACTGGAGGAGGAAGGGCTGGAAGGGGGCGGGAACAAGGAGGGTGCTTGGAGGGTGCGGTAAGGAGAACAGCTTTCATGAAAATAATAATTTCGTACGAGCAAGTATAATGGCAAAAATAATTTTGTTACACTTAAATTCCTATTTAATTTCATAACAAAGTAATTAAGGCATACTATATTTGAATTTAAATGAGTATAAAGCAAGTACTGAACTTCACTCTTTCTGTGGCAACCACTGCTGAGTGCACAACACTATTTTACTCCGGAGCAACTGCGCGCAACCAAAAAGGCAAAAAACCAAGACTTTCGGCGTTTGGCGACTTTGGCCTTTGGCGTCGATCTGCATTCCATCAAATCAAACGGTCGGTCTGGCCTGGACTGCCGAATTCCACAGTAAAAAGAGAAGTAATCTGTGGACGATCAGCCAACAAACAAGCATCACTCACGTATGTATAAAACAAATCGTCTGTATACATTTTAAAGTGAAATATTAAGGAACTTAACACGCAGGTTTTGAATTTTGCCCTCATCAAACACGCACATGATGTCTCGGTCAAAACGTGGTTTGTATTATTTATTTTATTTGTCGAAATTTGACGCATATGTACATATTTTGTCTCATTGAACAATTGAATTTACTAAATTTATGCCTTTTATTTTTTATTTAGCTGCTTCTGTCATGGACAGCGACGTTATTGAAGAGGAACTGGAGAATGGCTTCACGAGGAAGCTTGTGAGGAGGAAGAATGGGCAAAAAAAAGGTGACTTTGATGTGTATGTGTTTCCACCCGATGGAAAGAAACTAAGGTTGGTATATTAAAAGAAATCCTATTTTATCCTATTTTAAATTTTGAAATCGCCCTTACCACCCCCTGAGACCTTGGCCCCCTGCTGACCCCGGCCTTGCCACGCAAAAGTCTTGAGAGAATGAAACGCAGGCATTTGCCACACGAGCTGAGTTCTTCCAGCTTGTGGCTCGGAGAAAACGAGGCAAACCTCCGAGTGCAAGACGCAAGACGGTTCAGCTTGCGCCATCCCAAATTCCCAACTTGTCAGCCAAAATGTTATCAATGATTTGCATACCAGAGGCTAAAATTGTTTTTACAAAAAGCCTCTGGCTGAGCATTGATCACATGATGACCAAGCAACCCACTCATCAGAATGCAAGCAATCCAACAATTTTTTCTGAATTTTTAGGTCTAGAGTCGAGCTGCGGGCCTACCTCGATAAATTTGAAGGGCCATCAGTTGACCCTGATGCTGCTTTCTTAAAGTCACCCATTAGCAGAGTCGCTCTATCTGAGCTTGATCAAGAGGAACCTAATAACAAGAAGTCCCGTGCTGTCTCTAAAGCTGCCAAAGAAAAGCCAGAGAAGTCTGTTACGGGCTCAGAGATCAAAGATGATGTAAAGCTGAATGAAGGCATGCAACCAGTTGTTGTCATAGAGCCTATACCTGATGGAAAGGAAAAATCAAATGATAATGAAATGCCAGATGTTTCTGAGGTAGCTGAGGAGGAGCTATTGAAGCCTAAATCTAAAGTCAAGCCAGTAAAGTCTAAATCTAAAGATGAGCCAGTGAAGCCAAAATCTAAAGATGAGCCAGTGAAGCCAAAATCTAAAGATAAGCCAGTGAAGCCAAAATCTAAAGATGAGCCAGTGAAGCCAAAATCTAAAGATGAGCCAGTAAAGCCAAAATCTAAAGATGAGCTAAATGCCAAGGATGGAGAGGAAAAGCCCAAATCAAGCGAGGAAGCCAAGGAAGACATAGAACCTAAATCTGGGGAAAAAGCTAAGGTTGACTCAAAGCCAAAGTCTGATGAAAATGCTAAAGATGGCTCAAAGAAAACATTAGGGCTTCGGGGTTACACAATTCCTAAGCTTACCTCTGGCCAAAAATCAAAGGAATATGAGAAGAGCGAGGAACTCTCAAAGGCCAAGGATGACTCTGAAGTAAAAAATGATGGCAAGGCCAAGGAACACACCAAGCATAGAGATGACAAGGCCAAAGAACACTCAAAGCATGAGGTTGGGAAGGCTAAAGGAGACTCAAAGAAAACTTCTGATGAGCACAAATTGGATGTCGTGAAAAATATGCATGAAAAAAAAGTTAACGGAGACCCAAAGCAGAAGTCTCCTGGAAAGTCAATTCAAAAAGATGTGAAAGCCAAGAGGGGCTCAAAGGAAAAAGCCCATGATGGCCAAAATGAAGAAACTGGACAAAATTCAATAGATGAGACCGAGAAGGAATTGCAGGGAAAAGTTGAGGAGGGCCCAATCCCTAAAGAAGATCCGAAGAACAAGGATGGGATCAATACAAAAGTTGATTGCCAAATGAAGGATGATGTGAAGGGAGCTCCAATACCAGTTGAGGAAATGGCCTCGGCCAACTTGACATTCAATGGAAACGAGGATGCACAGGATGTTCAGATAAAACGTAAATCTAATGAGGAAACCGTAGCTGCCAAGAAGCAAAAACTTGAGGCCGACAAGGATCTTCGTGATGATAGTGCTGACTCAGGTGATTTGCCTAGCTCTGATGAGAATGCTTTAAAATTAATGTTTAATAAGTTTGTTGAATACAAATATCTTGTATTTCAGATCTCAACGGTGCCAACCAAAGTGATGAGACTTTGCCTCTTTTGAAGACTTTGCTAGTCAACCAAGCACCCATTTCTCCTTTTGGTTTGGTGTACGAAGGTCTCGGAAATGAGCCTTGCTGGAAGATCTTGATGGCCTCGTACATCATGGAGAGGTCAAATGCTATTCAAGGAAGAGTCATTGTCTTTGATTTCCTAAAAACATTCCCCACACTTCACAGCATCAACAAGAAGAGCCTGAAAAATTTCTTCAAGGTTGTACATTCACCATTAAAATAATCATAATTTATTATTCTCAAATAAATTTCAGGATTTACATAACATCCCATGCATAGATGATGCTATAAACGAAATTCTGACAATTGCTGCCCTCATCGAAGGAGGTGCCAAATCTCTGGAAAATATATCCCACTGCTCACTCTACATGAAACATGTTTTCCATATTTTCTGTGAAGAAGATGACGGCTGGAAAAATGTGTCTCCAGTCACCCTTGATCTGATTCGCTACAAGGCTTGGCGTGAGGAAAATTCTGCCAAGTCAAAGTAAATCTGAGCATATTTCCTAAATTTTTACATGGCAGTCATAAGATTAGTGGAAAGGAAAAGCTGCTCTCACAAATTTTATAAAAGACATTGACATCAAGTAAGGAATCAAATTTATTTGTGGAATCTCACAATCAGGACAACTTGTAAAATGATTACTTATTATACTTTTTGCATATTTTTGATCAACAGATTTACTATCAAATAATAATTTAAGACCTTATCAATGCTACAGAATGAATAAAAAAATTGTACTTAATTGAATTGATGATGATTATTTTTCAATAAATGAAACATATTTTTGATAAAGTAATATTTATTTTGTTTTATTGAATATTCCATTTGTGAGCCAAAAAAAATATGCGACTTGAATTATTATTACTTGTATATTTAAATATCGCAAACTTTCTTGATGTAAGTAATACATATTACATCCAGAAAATAATTAAGATCAATAAAATTATCGGCGTGAGGTCTTTGGTCTAGCACTGCTGGACGTAGATGCAGTGGGATTTCCGTGATGAGAACTTTGCTCCAGTTGGTATGTAGAAGAATGCGCTGATCGACTGACTGCAGATCGAGCGCAGCGCTTCCTGGCACTGCTGCTTGAATATCCACTTGACATCATCATGTCTCTATCATGAGTCACTCTGTCTGTTGAGTAGCTCAAATATAGACTAGAAAGATTGGGTTCTGCGAGCTGGAAAAAAAATACAAATCAGTATGTCTTTTTGGATGCGCTTTAAAATAGTTACATCATTTTCATGGCTGGTTTCATTAAAGGGGATTTGTTTCCGCATGTTATTTCCAGTGTAAGCAACACATCGCAGCTGCCACTCTCCAATGTCCTCATTCCAGTGGACAAATCTCTCAATCATCATCTAGGGAAGCAATTAAAAGAATTTTAAGATTGTCAATAATAAAAATACAATAAATATAAATTCATACTTGGTACTCTGGAGGAATGTAAGTGTCAATGATCAAGGACTGCAAACGCAATTCTCTATTGAGCTGTCGAACATTGTCCAAAAGCCCTTCCATCTCTCGTTGGTGGTCTTGTTGGACATCTGCAATCTCAGCCCGCACACCTTGCAACAGACTCCAAACCTTTTTCAGCTTTTTCTGCTTTCCAGCTGCCTCTTCTTGCAGACTGGAGTATCTCTCTTCAATATCCAGTCTCTCGGCCTCTTTCTGCTCGAGCGCCTGCCGTAGACGCAGCTCCTGCTTCTTCCTCTCCTCCAACTCAAGGGCTGCCGATGCAAGCAGTTTTTCTTGCACCTCAGCCTTTTCCAGCAGATTCTCCCCGCCAACATGAATTTTTCTTTCCAAATTGTGTAGCTTTTCTTTCAGAGTGTTCTGCTCGCCCCTAGAAGAACAAGCAAAAATTTTAAAATCAACTTTATTTTTTAACTATTACATTAAAAATATTTATAGTCAAGGAATATTTCAAAACATACTGTGTTTTCTTCAATTCCCCCTCATACTTGTCAGCCTCAGCTGCCAACGCCTTTCGCTCATCCTCGGTGAGATTTTTCTCAGCCAGTGCCTGTCTGTTGGCATCGATTCTTGCCTGCATTTCTGCTGCCCATTCACCTGATCACAAAAGTCCATAATCAATATTTATTTGTATCCACAATTCTACAGAACTGTTACCTCTCTTTTTCATTTTCTTTTTCTCCCCTTCATCTCCATCCGAGTCACTTGAGATTCCAGCCTCCTGAAGCTGCTTTCTCAACTCCTCGATTTCCTTCTGGCACATTCTCAACAAGGCATCTTTCGGATCTTCATTAATCCTAGCACAGTTCTTGATATTCTTAGCACGGTTCGCGTAACGCAGAGTGCTCACAGTTTCCTCATAATTATAATCAGCTGGACCAACATTGGCGCACTACATTAAACAGGTTGCTTTAGCTTTTAATAATATTGACAATAAAATTACCATGACTGTCTTTGCATTTCCGCCAAGTGAGTCTTGAAGCAGGCGGGTAAGTTTGGAGTTCCTGTACGGAATGTGTGTGCTTTTGCCATCGACTAGTGCTGAAATCACATTTCCCAGAGTGGATAAGGACAGGTTGATTTTTGTGGCCTCTTTCAATCGCTGACCAGTAGATCCAGTTTTGCTCTGGCGCTCAGAACCCTAAAAATTTCAAGAATTTATCAAATGACAAATTGAAATGCACAATTCTCTAAACTAACAGCCAAGTCCACTAAATGGAGTTTGCCCATTTTAACGTGTTGTTGCCCATCTGGTCCTTCCTCGCTCGACTCCACCGTAATTGAAAAAATTGCGTGCGAACGTGAACTGTGCGCATTCATGTTTGTCGAGCCAACAACTCCTTCAAAGAAAATAATGAGAAAATTATATCACAGATTTGCCAAAACTTACGATTTTTATTGCCGTGGGTCATGATTTTGTCCATGTGGTCAGTGTCATTGACCATAACAGTGGTCAAATCTTTAACGTAAACACCAAAGTCTGGTCTTTCTTTCACTTCGAGTCTTGCTGTTTGATCACTGGACAAAAGATCTCTCACCTCCTCATTGTATATTTCCAAATAAGAGACGCGAACCAAAAATCTGACAAAATGAAATATATATTATTAATATCATTAAAAATGATAATAATATAATTTAAACAAAAATATTTACTTCACATTATCCCCTGCTTTTGAAATATGCCCAAAGATGTGAGCGAATGAGTTTGGAATAATTCCATTCATCTCTGGAACTTTTCTGATTCCTTCCATGGTGAAGGTTTTTCCAGTTCCAGTCTGGCCATACGCAAAAATTGTGCCATTGTATCCTTCAAGCACCTTTTCAATAATTGGCCTTGCAGTTTGATTATAGATGTCAAACTAGAGGACATTAGGATAATGTTACAAGACAGGAAAATTATCAAAACTATGAATAATACTTGTTTGGAGTCTGGCCCGAATACCAAATCGAACGTGAAAGTTTTGGGTGGTTCTCCAGCCTGTGCATTAGGGTTGAGGACAATCACAGTGTTGGTAACAGAGTCAACGTCCACAATACTTTTGAAAGCTGAGTTGGACTCTTTCTCGTTCATTGGTCTCACACGGACGACCACTCTCACGTTTTCCACCTCACCCGACTCCATTTCCTGTGCAGAATGAAAATAATAATAAAATTTATGAAAAATGTAAATTTTGTGCAGAAAAATGGAACCGACTGATCAGAGAAAAAAATATGTAATTGAAGCTTTCAAGCGTTTGTTTTTTGGTCATTTTGCGAGAAAAATTGAGTGAAAAGACTATAACTTACTGCAAGTTTATTTTCCATTCTCAATTTTTGCTGACTAGCATCTATTTTGGTCGCATTTCTGAAAAATTCGGAAAATCAATAAAATTCCCCGATTTGTTTTGCTACGGGTCCTTAGTTACGCCCTCATTTAAAGCTGCATTCTGATTGGTTGATTAGAGCGATGCCAGCGCCATAAGCTAAGATTTAGTTGTAAAAGCGCGCTATTTCCATGAGCAACTCGGTCGAAATTTGCGGTCAATTTTTTTTCAAGTGCGGACAAAAAGTTTAACCTGACCAAGAAGTGATTTCAATCCATACGAATTAAATTTAGAATTTTTATCTTTATTTATAACTAATGCAATTTTCTTTTTTAATTTTGCAATAGAATTGGAGGTTTAAATAAAATTCGTTTCATATTTTTTAACAACATATATTTCTGAAATCTCATTCCATCTACGTTTTTGGATTACACTGATGATTTCATATTTTGTAACATTTACGGAGCTGCGCAAACAAAAATTTTATTCCCAATCGACAAATTTTCCTCAGCGCCCAGGTTGATTGATGAGTTTCTGGGAGCGTTTTTTTATTTAAATTTATTTCTAATATTATATAAATGGTCAGCATATTGCATAATTGGTAACAGACAACAAAACAACTGTGTGATAAAACATCATGCTTTGATCGTAACAACCAAACGAGCAGAAAAAACTATCAGAAAAAATTCTCGTCTGCTTTTAACATTGCGTTTTTCGAACTCTCGAGTTTAAGCTGTGATAGAAGGACGTACAATGAAGTCGAACAAGTTGAGCATAATTTTATTTACAACAGTTATTCTTTTTCTATCATGTGGATGCTGCTGGAGGCTAAAATCGCAAAAATGTTTTGTGCAAATTATATACAAAAGCCGTTAAAATATGTATGTGCTGGAAAAATCTTTCTCCCTTTAATGAATAATTAATTATATACTTGTGGCATTTGTTTTTTTTTACTACTTGCTCAATTAACTGGGTCATCTTTATATCTTTACACATAACACTAATTTTTATTTAATTGGTAAACATAGAGATCAATAGATCGTTTCGTAGGAGTTCAATAAACTTCAGCCTCCTAAAAAATCATTTTATGTTTATAAAGACTAGATATTGCAAAACTAGGAGAGTAATTAAATGGAGCACAGCTATAAAATGAGATTGTGAACCAATTAAATCACAGTAAGAGAGGAGAGAGATTCATTCATGATGACCAAAGTAATATTCAGCTCCAGCTAACAGGAATAATATTATACTTGGAGGACATCAAAGACATTGAGTTTTCCAAAACTGGTTTTGCATCTCCCTGTACGTTAGCCCGACTTCTTTACAAATGAAAAGATGTACCATTTTCAAATTTTTACAAGAGACAGATAATTTTAAAGAAAAATTTAATTTTTTTCAGAGCAGAGGAAATGTTGTTTTATCTTGCATTACTCGAGTGTGCGAGTTGTCTCGCTTCTCTGCCGTGGATTTTTGAGCAAATAGATAGAGAGTTTGATTAATGTACACAATTCACTTTACAATGCCCGGAGCTATTTACTACAAAAACATGAGAGGATTTTTTTAGTTCTCTGCGATTTTTGGGTTTCATATTCCTGCCTTAATTTTTTATTTATTTTTTCCTTAATATGTATTTTACGCTAATTCGTTATGAAAGCGGGGAGATTGAATGCGCTGTCCAGTATACTGCATATTTTAAATATTTACACACCGAAAGATTTCTTGCATGCCGCTAACAACTAATTTCACTCTTAATCGTATCGCCATGACTAATTTATCAGAATTGAGCGTTTTAACAGGTGACAGGAGATAAAATGATTGCACATCACCAAAAAGCCATTAGGAAAAAATTGAGAAAACTTTCAAAAATTTGGAAAAATTGCAGGAATGAAATGCGCAAAGAATTAAAAAAAAAAGAAATTCCGTTAATACACACATTTTGTTTAGTACATCTGCCATTCTATAATCAAGTGTCTCTTCTACCCATACATTTTGCACGCACATCCATAAATATTTTTGAACCACTGCATGACGGGCTGTGTGTCTTGATGCTAAATTTTTGCGAGAATAGAGTACGTAAACCACCGTGTATCTCAACATCTAATGACTAAATTTTATGTGACAATTTTTTAAATGGGCGTTGGTAAACAGTGATAATCTTGCAGGGCGTTCTTCACAGATTCAAAAATGATGGGTCTGCCGGTGTCCGCGTCCATGCCCGCGTAAGGGTTGGCGCCACTCTGGTAAAGGTGGTGACTGGTCGAGTAGCCTGACGGAGGCGGACAGTCGCCGGAGTTGCACAGGTTTTGCAGCTTGGTGATGTACGCATCGAAGTTGTCGTGAGCAAGCTTATCTTGGTTACCGGGTATCCTCACGTGCTCTAGCAGCGTGATCACGTTATTCCTAATACTCTCGTAGTAATTGGTTAAGTCGTTACTTCTTTGAGCAATTTCCGGGGTTTCCTGGAAAAGAACAAATAAAAATTAATATTTCATTTAAAAAACAAATTGTGATAAATAAAATAAATCAATTTAAGGGTTAAATGCATATATGAGAGTGAACAAAACTAGATGAGGTGCATTTTCAATAAAAAAATAAAAATTTCCAGCCCCTCTGCTAATATTTTTTTTTTTACATTCATTTGAGATGGAAGGAGGGATTGCGAAACTTACGTAGTAAGCATTCCCGCAAAGTATTTTGCCATTTCAAAAGCATTGGGAGTGGATGTGGTGGTGCTTTCACAGTTTGTTTTATAGCATGAGGACCAGTCCATATTATCTACCTTATCTCCACTTCTCAGGTGCGCTTCCATTGCAGTAATGTCTGACCGCAAACGCAACATTTGCGATTCTACCCTAGCGTTTTCGCGCTGCAGCTCACTAATTTCGGCCTCCAGCGTCATTAAATCTTCCCCGCCTTCACCTGGCGCATTGTTATTATCAGTAGGAGGTCCTGAAAGATACAAAAATTTAATTTTTTATATTTTAATAAAATATATTTATTTTGATAAAAAATTTGGAGTTTAAAATTTTTGAAAAATTACCCAAATTATTAGGCTTGTACATGCTGGCGAGCACGTGGTGTTCACCAGCCGAGTACTTGTTCTTCACAACTTTGTTATTGAGCAGTCCAGCAGGAGGTGGTGGCGAGAGGCTGGATGGGGGGTGGGTCGGGCTGCTGGTGCCACAGCTCGCTCGGTGCGCCAGGAATGAAGGTCCTAAATGCGTCACTGTCAGGTTGCTGCTGCCATCCGCCCCACCCCCACTGCAGCCCCCCGGCTGCAGACTGGCACCGCCAGCGCCCGAGGGGAGGTGACCTGCAGACGACGGCTGCAGTTGGTCGTACTTGATGCCTCCGGCCACGGCGGCGGCGGCCATCGCGCCAGCAAAGTAGCCGACGTCTGCAAAATAAGAGCCATCGGTTAGATAGGATGCTGTTGTGCTCCTGTCAGAAGCAATAAAATTATATTGATTTTTATTGGGCGCACGTGGAAGTGACCAGGCTGAAAGTGGCGCGAAATTCGGCACTCTTGCTAAAAAGCGATTGTCATTTGTTTTTCAATAAAAATTATCAGGAAATCATTCGAGATGCCTTTTATAATTTAATTTAGTCGGTTTCCTTGGGGATTAAAAACATTTTAAGTCTGAAATAATTTATCTGGTTAATTTTGTTAAATTAAAAAAATAAAATCAATAAAACAGGTGAAGTAAAAAACACATTAGCTAAATTTTATTTATCATTGTGTCTCTCATATAAAAACTGAAATGCACAGTCATTTCGCTGTCACTCTTACTTTTCTTCCATCCTTTTTCTTAATTATAGACAAATAAGTTAATTTGTACAGAGGATTGTTCGTTTTCTTGTCTAACAAAAAATATATATTTTAATCTTTTATATTCACTTCCGCTTTAGCAGATTGATTTTGACCGGCGCTTTTTTACTCAGGTCAACCGGTTTGTCCTGCATTCGATCACGTTCAGCCTTTCTAAGGTCTCTCAATTCCTCGTCACTCAACGAGCCGGCCGAACCTCTGTCGCCAGAGATGTCCGACTCGTTGTCTGACAGCTCGAAATACATTTCGTCGTCACGTTCTTCCAAAACACCGATGGCGGCGGCGTTTTTACCTTTGTGGTGCAGGTCCACCGAGGGACCGCCCATCAGGGAACTTCCCGCCGAAGCACTGTCCATCACTCTCATCTTGTTTCGGTTGGCTATGGGACAGCCGGACGCACTGAAATCGACAATAAAAGTGAAGGAAAACTAAAAAATTTCAAAATCAAATAAAACCTTCTGTGCGACAGGAACTTGCCGGTGGCATGACCTGATCCATCACAACCTGGAATGGGACACCTAGGGGAAAATTGACTGTGAGAAATTCGCCCTGCTGTTTTAGTTATTTTGGATCAACCTCAGTGGCTCCGAGTCTTGGCCGTCTCGCGGCTTGCTCTTGGGTTTGTTGGCTCTTGGACAGCCGGACAAAGAGCGGTGCGACGAGTAGTTGCCGGTCACGTGTCCTGAGCCGTCACAACCGGGGGTTGGACATTTCAGCTCCTGCGAGTGCGGCTGCACAGATCCGCGGTCGGAACGCGAGCAGCCGGACAGACTGCAACAAAAGAGCAGGGCAAAAAAGGGGTAAAACAAAAATTATTTCAAAATTTTTTTTATTAAAAAACAGTAAATATGTGTAAAATATTGATTAAAAAAAACGTTAATTAAATAGTTTTTGGGTACCCAAAAATTCTGTTGCTGTGTTAAAAAATATTTCAATTATTTTAGATTTATCACCAAAATCGTCGTCTTCATATTAATAAAAAAGAACATCAAATTAATATTATTTTTTTAATAATTTCAAAATTAATAACCTAGTATCATGATTATTGAGAAAAATAAGATATTAAAACCAATTAAAAATGAAAAATGTAATCAAAAATTGAAAATATGAATTTTAAAATTTTAAGAAATATTTTTGAGATATGGGGGTGTTGACCTTTCTTCAATTGGTTATTGTCAAGACGCAAATCTAGACCAAGGTCATAAGCTTGTCAGCTTCGAAGAGGGACACAATTGCCCGTTCCCAAAATACCCTAAGGCTGACATAATTTTCGAAAACTTTCGAAAATTTCCAAAGTGAGCGCTGAATTGAAAATGGCGCGAGAAAAACAAAAGTTCCCGAAACTTTCAATACACACGGTCGTGCGACCCGGTTTTTGAAAGTGCCGAAATTCCATTTTCTCGCCGTGTTGGTACCCAAAATTGAATCTCAGTCACGAGTTTTGAAAATTATTACCGAAAGTAATTCAAAATTGCCAAAGTTACTGGAAAATTTGGCCAAAATCAGTGAAAATCTCGCCACCCGCCGTACCGTAGAGGGAATCAAAATAAAATTACATTTTTGCGCCGCTCGTGAATCATTTTACCTTTCCCTCTCCTTATCCAAAAACCTCTGCAAGAGGACATCGTCGGCCTGATCAAAGTGTCCGAACATCGCGTCCCGGTTTCCGGCCCGACCGGCCCGTTTCACTAGTAAAGTGCGACTACTGCGACTAACTAAATGTACAACCCTCTCGGATCCCTCGCCCGCCGCGGCCAATATTGATCAAAATTCGCCCGTCTGACGGCAACCCCGCCTCTCAGCTCCTTTGCAAAACCCTCCCGAGCGGTTCGCAGCCGAATCAAGACCGGATCCAGTCCGAATTCGGCCCGAATCCGTGCAAATCTGGTCTTGAGTGCCAGATGTGACTTAAAAACTTTCAAGTTTTGGGGCGTCAAGTTAAGTTGCAATTAGGAGAGGGTCGGTCCATGCGCGGCAAACATGGTGGACGCCGGAGCTGCGTGTAAAAAGCATGAGAGATGCGCAGAACGGAGAAAATCTGTACGCGACGCACGGCCATTGAAGTTCATGGCGAAAACTCGGCCATCTTCCGAATACGGCAGGAGTTGGAATCTTTTCCAAGTCACCGAGCCACCGCGAAAATTTTAAATTTACTTTGTGTCGCCATGCTGAGCAATAATTATAACAAAATATTTAATGGTCAAAATAACGAAAATAACCAAATCAAAGACAATGCATTTTTAAGCATAAGGATATGCCAGCAAAAAATAATGATTTTTTAAATAAAGTTGAACCCAAAATAGAAAGAATAAAAAAAAAAATTGGGTGGTGCCTTCTGCACCACTAATAAAGGGCACAGGCCGACAAGACTTTGTCTTGGCCTGACCCTAAAAAACTTTTATTAACTTTGCTAAATCACGTTTTTTTAAAATTCGCCAAATCACGTTTTTTTTTTTTTAGAAATTCGTGAAATCACGAATTCTCCGCAAATTTAGGTTGAAACGAATTAAATTGAATATCTTAGTATAATAATGCATTATAGACAATAACACATTAAATTTCGGATCTTCCTGGATAAAAGGTCACACAAAACTGATCGATCAAGAGCAAAGGCCGCTCATTAGCGAACAAAATTGAAAAGTCTCGGTACTCACCCGACGTCGTCCTTCTTGCCCATGCCGTCACCGCCAGCCACGCCGTTCACGGCGCCGCCGGCCGCTGACGAGGGTAACATGGAAGAATAAGAACTGGCACTGTTGGCCTGGGGGATGCAGTTGGCGTAGCCGGCGTTGCTCGCGTGGTAATTGGCGTAAGGGGAGTTTGACAGGTTGCTCGTGTTGCACGCATAATACGGGTTGTAGCCCGAGTACTCCGACGTGGGCACCACCGACGAGTAGTGCGGGCTGATGTAGCCCGAGGTCAGACCTGCAACCAAGCAAGGGCGCACTCGTTAATGACTGCGAATAAAATGTGAGGGAAATTATCACAATATAATATATTTCGTTTGACATTTTTTAGGGAAGATCAATGCAAACGTTTCATTTTGTAAAAACATATTCCTTTTTTTTTTTAATTTGTTTCCTTTTCAGAAATTTAAATGCAAAAAAGGAATTTTATTTTAATTTTTTTTCGGGAATATTATATTTTAAAATTTTATCTTCATTTAAGATTTTGAAATTTGCAAAAGTTTGAGCATCAAGACTAATTTCTGCAATTTATTCCTTTGATTATTTATATTTTCACTTTTTTCCTTAATAAAAAGTATTTTCATTTATTGTGTAAAATTTTAAATTATTTAAAAAAAATTGAAAAACAATATAAAGATCTTTAAAGAAATGAATATTGGCAATCTTTCACTAATGATTTACATATTTGAAAAAATTCAATCACTGAATGTTTGCTTCTTAAGAACAATATTTATTTTGCTTTTTTCTCCAATTTTTAGTAACTTGTGATTTGAGTGCTAATTTTTGCAATCAAACTTTGTGGCGTGTGTATTTTTCATTGCTGTTGAAAAATGTGATTTACTATCAGCACAGAAAGCAAACGGCGGTCGCTCGCATTATTTAACACCACTCACTCGAGCGCTCCGCAATAAAAGGGATTAAAAATCGAATAATAAAACAAAGAGAGGAATAATAGGAAAAATGGAAAACGCGCTCCGCCGGCGCGGGTCGTATAGTTTTTTATTACCGCAAACGAGAGAGGCTGGCAAAAAAGAGAGAGGCATTTTTCCGAGCGAAAAGGGGGAGTCGGAAAAAATTCATTAGACTCTCTCTACCTTGTTTTGCGGTCAAAACTTTTTAAAATTTTTATTACCGAATCATACATAGCCGGTCTCCCTTCCGTTGCGCGCTGCAAAAAATACTCGCCATTCGAAGCCCGCGGGGTGTTTGAGAATTACATTTACACACACACATACCGCGAGCGAGCTAGCGAGTGGCGGCATGCAAGGGTTATATTCGCCGTCGACGAGCTAACATGACGAAAAGGAGGAGGTGGGCTGGAAAAACACAGCGAGGGCACCCGCCACACCATAATGAATAATTTGTTTGGCATAAATTTATATTCCTTACGCTGCTGCCGTTTGCTAATGAAAACCACAAAAAATATATAATCATCCGCGCCGACAGCAGCAGCAGGGCGCGGGCGCGCCGCATTTTTTTTTTATTTTAAATTTGCATGTTTTATTGCACTGGGCCTCTAAAAAAGTTTTTTTTAGGTACGTACGTCAACATAAAAGCGACACACATTGCTCTAAATAAAGCAGAATGCAGCACAGCAATCTGAACTGGCCTTCCAAAAATCCGATAAAAAAAAAACTCAATGCTGTTGAAGTAGAAGATTTTTATAATAAAAATTTAATTATTATAATAATCTTATATAAATATACTGTAAATGTTTAAAAAGTAATTATTTTAATATATTTTTTAAAATAAATATATATGGATTAAAAATTCTTTTCCTTAAAAAGTTCACACTTGAGAGTGGATTTCATGTTCATTGATTCGGAAGTTTATAATTCCTTGATAAATTTATTTTTGCTTTTTTTTTACTCATTTATTATCATGAAATATTCAAGTTAAATATTGGCTATTTTGATTAAAAACATTTTTAATTAATTCTGCTTAAAAAAATTTGAAATAAACAAAATTATTTGAAATTCCAAAAAATCCCAAACTTCATAAACCAGAAGAATAATATTCTTCGTCGATTAATGATTGAACAATAGGAGATCTCTTTCTCCAAAGAGAATTAAGAATTATTATATATTAACGCCTGCATCTTTAAAAAATAGGCAACCCGCATGCCACTGAAATTAAGCTTGCAGATTATTCAAAGTGTTCATTCAGCAAGATTCAAGAATCATGCGGTGTAAATTTTAAAAATTAGGATGGAAATTATGTAATAATTTGTTACTGTTATTCAATAGTCATTTTATTGTTTTAAACGGTATTAAACGTCTGTTATAAATGCCGCAAAAATTATGCTTTTAATTCAAAAGTACCTCATTTGTGCACAATTGATACTTCCTTTAGCAAATTCAATAGAATTCAAACTCATCCTAAATTAAGACTGAGTTTATGAGGTAAAACCATTACCACATAATATAAAAATAGGTTTAAAATGCTTTTTGGCGCTGAGATTGCTTGAATTTGATCAAAGATGAAAATAATAGGAATCAATTTTGGGCTTACCTGCTGCGACGGCGGCAGGGTTGTCCCTGTAGTCGAGGTAGGGCTGCTGGGTGGACTCGGGACTGGAAGTCCTGCTGTACGCGTAGCCGGGAGGTAGCGCCACGAGGCGACTGCCGCTGAAGTTGACAGGCTCGTTGGCGGTGGAAAAGTCGACGGGCTCGGTCTGCTCGACGGGCGATAGGAAGCGGCGAGCAGTAGCGGGCGGGTGTGCGCCCTGGATGGCGGCAACCGCCGCCGCACTCTCCGCCGAGTAGAGCGGGCTGCGTGCGAGAGAAATACGTGATTCGCGATCGAGACAATAAAAAGTAGCAAACAGAGATTGATTTGTGCCGGGGAAATTCGGTCAGGTTGTAAAAATCGACCCCGAGTTTAGCATAGTTTCGAGAGAAGAGAAATAAGAAAAAGAGAGGGAGGTTCTTTCTCCGCAACAGTCGGCGGGATGAGGAAAAGTTTTTAACGGGCAAAAGTTTTAAGACGCGGGGAGTTGTGGCTGGAGAGTAACTTTTGTTTCCTTTATGACTGGGCGAATCGATAAGAGAAATGAATTTTCGCACACGTTCGCCCTGCCTGGCAAGCAAAAAGCAGCAGAGAGCAGGCGTTTTAGTCGCAGTGCAAATATTTGAGATGGGAATAAGAGAGGAACAAGTGGGTTTTGAATTTCGTTTTCAAGCCGAGCACCGTCAAAAGTCAAATCTTGTTAATCGAGGAAATTTTGGGACTTGCGGAAAAGAATCTCCGGATTTCCTTTGAGCTGACAAAGTTTTTCAATTAATCCACTTGAGATTGAAGGTTGAAATCAAGAGTAAGCAAATGTAGAAAAAAAGAGAAAATTTTATCCATGTCAAAGGTGCGATTATGTAATTAAATTGAATTTTTGTGAAAATTATTTAATTTTAAAATGGTAAAATTCAAAATTTATAATTTTTTTTTATTTAATAAATTGGAAAATTCCATTAAATCTGATAAGTCAAATAATTTTGTTTGAATAAACCAGACCGCTTTAGACTTTCTAGCTCACAGGAATTCATCCGAGGAAACCTCAAACTCCCTTACTAAGACAGAGCGCGACAAAGGAGCCGAGAGGGAGGAATCGAGCGGAATCAATTATCAACCGGGCCTGTTTTGCTGCTTTACTCGTTTGATCTCCATTGGGATAAACAAAGAGTTCATAATTAAAAGATCAAACAGCGGCCGGAGAGACAGAGTCTGCGTCTCTCTGCAAAGAATGGCCCGCGGCTGTGTGTGCTCGGCGGCTCAGAAAAATATTTGCACTGCATGAGCCGCGCCTGCACCCCTGCGGCCACCAGACCACCTGTTCCTTCTTCAACTCACCTTTCGCCGCCGCGGTTCACACTGAGGTCCAGCGTGTGCACCTGAGGACTGGGCACCGTGGCCGACTGGTTGCTCAAGTGGTTCGGACTGGCCACGGCCGTGCCGTCGAGCGCTCTGGTCCGGATGCCGCCGTTAACGTGCTGGGGGCTCATGCTGGTTGCGTACTGCGAACACGAAGGGGTGAGAAGATATTAGCCGAGGGCTCGATGTCATTCGAGAGGCGCGTTGGGTAGGTGATGAAGCAAAGGGGACACGTGAGCCGGAGAAAAGCTTCACTATTTGATTTATAGTATAGAGAGGAGGAGAGGAAAAGAAAGTTTGGAAGTTATTAAATTATTAAAATATAGCTAGACTGGTAAGAATTTTTTTTTTAATTTCCTCTGAATCAGTTCATTTTGGCTGAGGATCTTTTATAAGTATTTCATTGTGATTCAAAATACTACAAAAATAAATATGTTAAAAGTTTACTATTTTTTCTTTTTTGTTACTTTAAATTTTATTTTTCTGGACTATTTTGTGACTTTATTCTAATATTTTTGTAGAATTCCATTTTCCAATTGTAACTATTAAATATTTTAAAAATCCAATGTTTTATAATATTTTGTTGCAAATTGGTGTTTCATAAATTTATTTTGTTACAAATTTCATTACAAAATTCAAATTAATTTGTTAGAAAATTTACTATTTTCAATTATAGTGCCTTACTTATTGAAAATTAATAATTAATTTTTCATCCACAGTAGCACTCAAAATTTGTATATCTACGAGAAAAAACATGAATATTTCACCAGTCTAAATATATCTTTTCTTTTGTCTGCAAAAGAGAAGTGAAGTTTACAGTTTTAAAAAATTTAGTCTTTTTTCTAAAAATTTTCTACTTTTAGACAATTTTAGTTACAAATTTTGCTCCAGCTTACAAATATTTAGGCAAACAAAAAACATCTGATGCGAGTGCTGCAAGTTCTACCAAATAAAATAACACACCCATTCGACAGATACAAAGAGTTTTTTTTCCGGTTCGGTCTCAAGCACAACACGGTGGAAAATTGCACTCACGTGAGGGCTGTTGGACGCAACGCTGGACGTCGACAAGTCAATGACTGAGCCACCAGGAGAGATCTGAGTTTGGTTCCGAATCGAAAGGGGGGAGTCGTCGGCCTTCCGCGATAGATTGATCGCTGAGCTGAATGGGTTGATGGTGGAAGGACATAGTGTCGGCGGCATTTGCGAACCCATGCTGCTGGCAGCGTTTGAGGAGTCTTCGTACGGATAGACCGACCTAGAGGGGCGCAACACCAAACCGACACATTATTCGTCGCGTCCAGCAGCAGATTGCAAATAATCAACAGAGTGAGCTAAAAGTTTGGTACTGACCGCTGGTATAAATTTGAATTCGGAAGTTGAGTTTCGCCCTCCTTTCCGACGCTTACTGAACCGTGCTGCTGGTTTTCGTAGTGAGACGGAACCTTCGAAGGTAATTGAAATTATAATGTAATCGTTTTGCAGTGGAATGTATAATGAAGAAATTTTCTAATTAATCAGTTTTAATAAGAGTTGTAGATATTTTTTGTATTATTTAACTTTTATTATTATAACTATCATTATTAATTATATTTTAATGATAAATAAATGATTTATTACATTTAAATTTCATTTATTTTAAATTTTTTTAAACGTTAAAAAATTTTTAAGTTAAACATTAAAAGAAATTGATGTAAAAATTAATATATATTAATTTAATAAGTTCTTCTACAGTTACAAAATATTTCTGGTTACAATTCATATCATTAATTCATTGAATCCAAATAATTTTATTGTCTAATTTTAACGCCATCACTATGTCAAATTGTAATATTGCTATGCAATTTTTTAATCATTCTTTATAAATAAATCCACTATTTGATATAAATTTCTTTCTCAGATCTCAAACTAGCTGATAATTTTTCTACTTAATTAAACTTTCTTATATTATACTAATTTCGTTTCCATTAATCTGCTGATAGAAATAAAAATTCGAAAATAAGTTTTTACCTCGAATTTGATTTCATATTTCTTAATTTGAACTCTAAACTTGCCGCACTTTCACACACAGACGAGAACAAAGGAGAACCACCAAAGAGTGACATGCGATCAAAAGCGGAATACTCACATGTGAAAGGTCCGAGTAGGAGTACATGGCCGCCCTCTGGTCGTACATGACGTGCTCGTAGGACGGTCGTTCGGGGTGCGAATACACCCCGTATCGGTACATGTCGCTCTCGTACCTCGCATCCTCCAGCGCCGCGTATTGCTGCTGTTGCTGTTGGTGGGGCTGTTGGCCACTGGCCGCCGGCTGGGGGCCGATGGAGGCGGCCGGTGGGGGCGGCGGAGGCTGCGGAGGCGGCTGGGCGCTCATGGCAGGGTCGATGCAGCTGCTGGACGAGTTTGAGTCCTGGTGGTACTCGTAGGACATTCGGCACGCGGCCGACGAGGGCCCTCCGGAGGCGGCTGCCACCTCCGCCTTGGGAACCTTGTTTGACTCGATTTCGTTGCTGGAACCGCTGGAGGCGAGACCGCTGTCCTCAGACTTGAGGTAGCGTCTGTCCTCGAGTGGGGTGGCTGGTGAGTCTTCGGACAGGGAGCGCTTCATTGGTGGAGGAGTTGGCGCCCCTGAAAGTCGGTATTCAAGGTTTTTTTCTTGAATCAAACAGAACGGGGACAAGTTAGATGCATCCTACTGATTTTTTTTAATAATGTCCACGTTTTCCATAAAATTAAAAAAATATATGTATTTTAACGGAAAAACGATTTTTTAATTTATATTTATAATTTTGTTCCAATATGGAAATATAAATTTGAAAAGGAAGGAAACACATTAAATTCAATCACTCCAAAAGCCTTCAGTTTTCACAGTACACAAAAAACCATCGTCTCATCTTTTGTTTTTAAAGCGTCATTTTCCCTTTAAATTAAAAAAAAAAAATAAAAATATGTACAGTGAATTGTGTTTTTTTTTTAAACTTACCAGACTGTTTGTAGTACGGAGACTGGGCCGAAAACTCGTGCGACGGCGAAGCGACGCACAGTGGAGATTTGGCCGACTGCTGCAGCATGGTGTAGCACGGCTTGGCGTCGCTTGAGCTCTGCGAATTGGGACTCTGGCTGCACGGGCTGACGCCTTTTGTGCTGTACGAGCAGTAGTCTCCAGACAGAGAACCTGCGAAGAAAATTTGTGAGTGACTTTGCTTTCAACGCGTTCGGAAGTGACAATTGAAGGACTGGGAAGCCAAAATATGAGCCGACAGGCAACAAGTTTCTCTCAGCTGTCAAGCCGGTTGCCTAACTTGTCGCGATGGGGTACATTTCAACACAATTCATTAGAAATGAAATAAAACGAGTAGGTTATTTTATTTTCCAATTTCAAATCAAATTTTCTCTGCAATTGTTTTAATCCCTTGCAAACTTTTGAGCCAAACAAATAATCCAGAGGAGAACAAAGTTTTTATTGGTTCGGTTATTGCCGCATATGAGAGTGGCCGGTGAGGGGCTGAAATTACGGCTGCAACTAAACCAATTTCGAAAATTAGACCGACATTTTAACGTGCTCGTTATTTCGCCGGCCGCCGAGGCTGCTGCTCTAAACCCAATTGATTAAGCCCGGAAAGTTGTTGCCGACCATAAGCAAAGTAGCGCAGACATATAGAGAGAGAGGCTTACTCGCTCGCGAAGACATGTTGGATGCTAATTTGGTCTTCTCTCGGGAGGCCTGTTTAGAGGCGGCGGCCAATGGACAGCCCGACAGGCTGCGGTGGGTGTTTCTGTTGGTCGAGACGTGACCTCGGCCGTTGCAACCGGGCGTGGGGCACTTCAGAATCGTCTCGTGCATCGCCAGAACTGCAACGAGACAACAATGGGGCGGATTTTATGGCGGGTTGTGCATTTGAATTGCAAATTTTCCAGCAGAATAGAGATAAAAATAATGAAGAAAAAAGAAAAAATTGGTAAATAAAATAACAAAATCATTATTATTATTTTTTAATTAAGTTAAATGTTAAATTTTTTCGTTCTAAAACTTAAATTTGTCCAAGAATATATAATTTTTACTCACTTTCCGGCGTCACCTTGTCCTTCCTAGGACATCCGGACAGACTGCAAAAATGAAGAACATATCAGAGAAAATTGGGAGCAGAGCGATCGACAAAAAAATCAATCGTGATCGCTGATTTTACCTCCTGTGGTGCGAGTAGAGTCCGGTCACGTGGCCCTGGCCGGTGCAGCCCGGCGTCGGGCACTTGTTACCCTCTGCGGGAAAAAAGAGAGGCGAAAGATTATCTCGCTGCTGCCTCATAAATATCATCAAAGGCGGGCTTTTCAGCGGCAGCAATTGCCCTTGTAACACGCCTCATATGAGCCACTTATGCCAGCCGTATCCGCTCCACATTTGTTTTCACCCCTAGGGCCATTTAATAAAACGCACGCGCGCGCGAGTTAGAGGGTCGGTCGGTCGGACGGGGCTGCTTGAAAAGTTAATTCTTTCGCAAAATATGAGACCGGCTGAGTGAATCGGATTGAGGGAAAATCGCAGCGCGTTTTCCGCACCTTTGACTTTTAAGAGGTTTAGCCAAACGGTCCGCTTGTGTGTGTGTGCATGTTGAGCTTTCATTACACGGGCGGTCAGCTGCTTTTGTGCCGCAAAAATAAATTTAATGGCTCGAGAGAAAGCTTGAGAGGGCCGGTTAACGTTGCAGACTGGGGATTAAACGCGAATTTGGAGTGGTTTTGTTTTCAGCTCTACCACTAATTATGCCTTTTTCCCCTAAAAAACCTTTAGTGAAATTTAAATTGAAGTTAAAGATAATTATTTCGTTTGCAGAGCTTTTTATATTGACTAAAATGCATCAATCGTTTTTCAATTTTTAACCATGTCAATGTCAAGTCATAATGCTTAATGAAATAAATCAAATAAATAAACTTGAATCTTGATTATTAATATTGTTGTTATTATTATTATTTTTTTAATTTTCATCGCACTGCCCGTGAGAAGTTCAATATATTTTGGAAGGGCGTTCTAGATCATCTTCATTTTTCCCACCGACTTATTTAAACTAAAAAGAAGGCTTGTAAAATATGCTGCAAGATTTAAATTCCAATAAACTGAAAACCTGTTATAACATGGAGCCTTAACAATTTTTTTTTTTATAATGAAATATTTAATTAGACGTCTTTAAAAACTTTCAAACTTAAGCACGTATTTATTCTGTCGAAGCTTCCAATCTTGAGAGCTAATCCTCTCAGAAACAACGTTTGAAATTGACCAAAATCCATCCCTCCGAACTCCCCAATACATCTTACGCCGGAGATAAATCTCCTTAATTACCCGAAAAATATTCTCCCCGCCGCGAGCGTGCTTTATTATTTGGTCACGCACCCGTCACTGGTGCGGCGTGAGGTGTTAATAAGGCTTTGCAGGCAGCCGGATTTATTTTCCTCTTTCTCCTTCCAATATAAGCCAGCCGGATTTTTCCTTGGGGGCGCTAACGAAGAAGCAGAGAGTCGGCATGCAACTGTACGAGCATTTAAAAGGCTCGCACACATGGCGGAGCAGGAAAGCGAGCGACGGTCCTCTTCGCCGAGTGGGAAAACTTTATCCCTGCTGGTGGTGCAAAAGAAAAGTTTGCAGCGCACGGAGCGCAGAGGCTTTCTGCAGGAAAAGGGAGCAAGACAAAGTTTCGCAGCCACCATCTCGCTCTGGCTGCACTTTGCTCTGCCGCTGCTAATACAAAATAGCGGCCACGCGCAAAGTGTGCCTGATGTGAGCAAAAGACTCGACGGCAAAGGACGTGGCCTCGGCTAGAAGTTATTGCTCGCGATGAGAAATGCGAATTGCGCCGCGGACGTGACTATTCCATTAAATTAATCGATGCGAAAATTTGTGCCCGATCAACAAGCACTGACAAGTGAGAGGTGTGAAGGAAGTAAAAGAATTATCATTATATGCAAAACGTCAAAGGTGTCAAAGTGTAAGAATTTAACATTTTTCAATGTAAACATTATTAATATTAATTAAGTAAAAGTTTGAACTTAAAAATTGCCACTTCCCTACTGCGTGAAAGGGTGCACATCTGAAATAACATTTGGTTCAAAATCAGGAAAAAAAACATTGCTAGAGATGCTCATTAATAAAGAAAAAAAAAATAAAATAAAATGATCTTAAAAATTTGCGTCTTTTTATATAATTTTATTTTATATTTGCTATAATTTTTATCTCGTGTTTAGGTGAAATCATTTCATTTTAAACTTAAACTTTTTAAATCTTTAAAGTTCTTTGTATTTCGTGAGAAATGAATGCAAAGAAAAATTCATCCGCCAGTTTGACAAATTAAAATTAATAATTCTTTTCGTCTCTGCTCTAGGGTCACGATCTCATCTAGCGCAAATGAAGCCCAGCATCAAAATTTCACACCGGGCCATTACTTTCGCTTTGTAATTACCGCCCCGTCGGCTGATTAATTATTCAGTTCTTAATCAAAACAGCGGGCGGCCTAAAAGAGTTCCTCGCTGGTGTGGTGCGCGGAGAGTGAAAAAAGGCTCCCTTGGTCTTTGCAGCCGTAATTATCACACCCTCATTGCGGGCGGCGGATGGAGTGCCATCCTTTTTCGCTTTCTCGGAGATGGAAAGAAGAAATTCCTTTCCCGCGGCGTCTTAATTTTTTCTTGTGCTCGCGTAATCTAGTTAGCTGCGAGACGAGCGCGGGTCATGCAGCGCACGAAAAATGACATTAAAACAGAAAAAGATGTCCGCGTTTGCGGTCGAGATTGCCGGCAGTTTGTTTCGCTCCCCCTCTACGTCTTCAAGAGATGCTCTCCTTTTATTTTAATCCCCCGAGGTTATCCTGGCAAGAAGTTAATTTGGAGATTTATTTTTCCTATGAGGCAGGGCGCTTTTTGCTTTTTAAAAGCAGAGAGTCGCCGTAATTTCTAATATTATACACGGCGCAGCCCAAGAATCCGCCCGCCGCTTTCTTGTTTGTTTGTTTGTTTGTTTGTTCGCCTACCTCACACTCTGTTTGTCTTTTAATATTTAAGCTTTTACTTAGCGTGGTGGCCGCCGCCGGAGAAAAAGCAGCTCTGTCCCAACACAAACTTCTTAATTAGTGTTTATTCTGCGGTACACTTAGGAAATTTTTAATACAAAATAATAACTCCGGTTTCCCCTAAAATATTTAAACCAATTTCATTTCCTTGCTTTTTTCCTGGTGCACCGAAATGTAAAATTCAACTGCACGTGGCGAGTTTTCATATTTTCTGACCGGATTCGGTATTAAAAAAGTTGGCCCTTCCTAACCGGAAACTTAGTCGTCGGACTTTTCTTTTCCGGTTATGGCCCCTTTTTGTATAAAATGCCAAGTTTAATACAATAACAGCGCAGCGAGTGGCTGTATTATACACACACACACACCCGTTCTCTCTCTCACACAGAAGCGACAGGGCACAGACTGAGGGAGTGCCGCATTATTTCATTTTTTTTTTGCGCCGAGGGAGAACGGAGGAAAGGGCCAAACAGCGGTGGAGCGGAGACGCGCAGTGACGGTCATTGTTGCAATTATTTTTTTACAAAATAAATTATATATCTGCGATTTTCCGTCTCATTGTCAGCATGGCAATATTCAGCGAAAAGAGAGACGAAAATTGGGAGAAGGATTTAATATTTAAAAAAAAATGTGAATGCCGTAAATGATGATGATAAATAGCAATTGTATCTTTTGATTGATAAAAAAATTCTCAAGTGTTTTAAACTTGAATGAATTCAAAAGATTCAATTATTTAAAGAAACACCGGTTTCTATTTTTTTTTAATATTAACTTTGAATTCAATCAAATTTTTGAGTACCTTCAATCTTTCGTTGAAAATGTGGAGCGGCTCGGAAACTAGATTTTACAATTTGATTTATTCTGCAGACTTACCTCTGCCGTTTGATGGATTGTCCGGCGATAGGGGCGGTTCGTCGCCCGGTTTCAACTTGTCCGCGTCCAGGGCGTTCTCTTTGGAAGGCTGGATCACATTGACCCCGATTTTGGCAATGTCCTGAATCTGGCTGGCGGCCTTGGAGTCGGCGGACGCTGGTTGGAGGACGGTGTACCGCTTTCCGCTGCCTGGCGAGTTGGGACTGTCCACGATCCTCTCCTTGGGCCCTTCTTCGTAGGGCGCCGACGGGACGTACGTTGCGTCGCTGAGTTTGAAACTGTTGAATTCTGATTTGTCAAACTGATTGTTGTAGAAAAACTGCTTCTTCTCGTCTTTGGCCGGGATCTTCTCGCACTCGGTTTCGATTTTCAGCAAATTCTCTATTGGATTTTCGTTCTTTTTCGGCTCGAGCTGCGGTTTGGCCGGTTCTTGCGCGTTTCTTTTCTCCTCCTCCGGCTCTTGATCCTCGCCGACTTTTCCCTGCTCCCTGTTTGTATCCTCCGGAATTTCAACTGATTTGTCCTCCTTCTCCTCACTAACGACGTTACTATTTGAGCTACTGAGAGTGACCACGTCTTTTATGGTTTCACTACCCTTGTTGTTGTTGGTCGGCGCCTTACTTTTGCTCGAACTGACCGGAGCGATTAGGCCGAACTTTTTTCCATTTTCTTCGAATAAATTTTCAAAATTTGGTTTTTCGTAACGGTCGTCGGAAGGGTTTTGCGAATTGGGCCAGCTGCCCGACAAACTTTTCAAAGCCGCCTTGGTTTCGAGGAGAAATTTCTCCTGATTGGACAGATCGCCTGCGTTGTACTCGGGGTCGCTGGGTTTCGGGCCGTCGGCGCCGTCCAAGTTGAACTTTTTCCGTTTCTTGGCGATTTCCGCGTTGGACGGCACCTTGTTGTTGTTCAGCCGACTCAGGTGCTGCGCGTTATCGACCAACTTGCGCTTTTTCATTGCGTCCCTGCAACAGAAATCACGCCGGATTTTATATAATGGAAAATGAAAAATAAAAAAACGAATTCTAGCGGAAAGTAATTAGTGAAGTTTGACGAAAAAATGTGTGTAGTCTCTAAGCAAACTTCTTTCAACCCTTCCTGTCCCTCAATTTTCCGTAATGAAACAACGCGAGCGTGTATTTTTAATTAAAAATCTCTCCCTACCTCTCCCCATAAATTAATATTATCGTGTCCGACGGATAAAAAATCTTGTCGAGCGTGGCTTAAGACGAAGGCGCTCCTTTTCTCCTTGGCTCGAGAGGCGGTATTGATTACAAATTATAAAAACAATTATGTTATAGCGCGCGCTGAGCGGGGGAGCGTCTGAAAAAGTGGTGGTCGCTTTTTAGCGGCGCGCGCGTTTAGCTCGAGTGGGCAGGCGTTACATGAGGGAAATTCTTTTTTAATTAAGATACTCCATTCAAGGGTAATGAATTATATCGCTCAGATAGATTTTAATGAGAATTCCTCTTTTTTGTTTTACAAGGGAAGAGGCGGCGATGATGACGATGAAAAAAGGCGGAGAAAAATCCGTCCGAGAGGAAGAAGAAAAAAGAAGAAAGAGGAAGCGCGGGCCATTAATGAAGGTGTAGCTTGTTTACACTTTTTAAAACGGGATGAACAGATTGCGGCGTTAATTAATTCTCACTTGGAATGAGGCTGAGAAATTTTCATTTTTCTTTAAAAACGTTGATTTTGATCAAAATCAATACAAAATTAAAAATTTATTTTCAAACACATTGTTTATATTATTAATTTTACGGAATATATAATTTTAACCAGGCGAAAATTACAGCCGACCTAGTTCAAGAACCCCTCACGGACGAACAGTCTCAAGATTGAAACTTGCAGAAAATAATTATCATCGTTGAAAAGACGGTTTCCTGCAGAGGCCGGTCGTTTTCATTAGAATCAACTCATTCACTCAATGATATATTCTACGCATTCAATTGAAATTGAAAAGGAGCGCTGCTGACCAGCCAGGGATCGAAATTAGTCAAGCGCCGCCGGAGGCCTTTGCCGATAGTTGCCAAGGTAACTATAATTAATAGGACGCAGACACACGGGGCATTAAAATGCTGCTGGGGTCGTGTGTATTTAATCATTCAAATTAATCTGCTCGGCAGTATCAAAAAGCCGCTCAACTCAATTACTGCTTCCATGCAAATTCCAAGAATAAGTTTGTATAAAAAAAAGAGAAAGTGCCGAGGGGGAAGAGCTGATGAAAAGGAAGTGATTTTTCATTTAAATCATTGTGTTTCTCTTTCTCTCTCCCGATCGTGTTTTGATCCTGAAATGAATCGAATTGATGGAAGCAAGGAAGGGCGTGCGTCTTTTCTTTGGCCGCGCTTTCAGCGATGCAGCAGTATTAAATATTTAACGTCATTGAGTGGCTCAAACTTTGTTAAGTGAGAAAACATCAGAGCCTTCTCTCTCTCTCCGCTCACTCACTCGCCATCCAGAGCTCATCCCACCCACCCCCGACAGCCCCACGCATCCCTTGCGAGAGGCGGCAGTGAAATGAAGCGTGCACTTACGCAGACGGACGCTCCACCGACCCGAAACGGGATTTTGGCGAGCTGGACTGACTGACGCAAAGATCTCAAGAGTCCTACAAATTTCAACAGAGAATCTCAAATCAGACTAGGAAAATAATTTCCTTGCAAAAATTATTAAAGACGAGGTAAAAAGTGCATTTATTTATATCTGCTTTGCTTGAAATTGATTGCCTTTTTTAATTAAAGATTTAAATAAAAATAATAAATTTTTCATTTTTATCACTGATAATAGTTTGAAGATTAACAAAGAGGCGAAAATTAACTTGGATAAATTTTAAAAGCGAGTTTTTTTATAATTTCTTACCGCATTTTGAAAATAATCACAGTTTTTGTGCTTATGCAACCTGCTCGACATCCGTTCTGAACTTGTTGCCTACCCTCTTTCCGAACAAAAAGTCGTGCTTAACAAAAAGTGAATATTACACTTTCGTGTTCGCCGTCTCACCTCGCGATAAAAACGTGGCAAGGGGCGGATCAAGCATCTCGAGAAGTATAATAATAATAATCATTACGCCTGGCAGCTCCTAATCCGTAAGATTCCATTAAAGCAGCGGACAGTGGCTGTGCATTTGTTATTAGAGAATCGCTGGCAGCAATCTGAGAGAGCTCGAGGACCGAGCGGCAGGCAACTCCCTCGCCCACTCATAATCTTACTGCATGCTATGCAAAGCAAAGGGTCTCTCGAGTACTTACAATGTAAATTACCAACTTGGGAGAGCGGCGTATGTGTGTGTGCCAGACGTATATGTATATATGAGTGTGCGGGAGCGCTTTTGCCTCTATTTATGTACACGACCGACTACCGTGCCAAAGGGGTTGGAGCTCCGGTTCTTGATTAAAAACGTCAAATCCAAAGTACTTAAAATAATAACAAATTTCCTCAGAAAAAATTGTATTTAACACATGAATAGACAATTAAAGTAATGAAAATAAAATAAGTTAATTTGATTATTTTAGAGACAAATTTTAAAATTAATTTTACTTGATGAAGACTTCAAGCAATTTATTTTTAAATTCTAAATTCTGAAAATAAAATTATCAACTTTTAATCAAAATTAAAAAATTTATCAGATTTATTTAATTTCTATCAAAATAAAAATTAAAAATTTTAATTTTAGCCACTGATTTTACCCCATGTAACGGTACTTTTACGCGTTGGTTATGCATTCACGTATATGTCGTGCAGAGAGCGGAGCAGAGGAGCGAAATTATGAAATGAGAAGATAGAAGCCGTAAAAGCGAGGACTGCCGGCAAATGAGCATCACAATATAAGGCGTTTAATAAATATTACACACATCAGAGACCCGTTTTCTCCTTCACGTGTATATACATGCACAGCCAGAGAATATGGTTAACAATTTAAGAGGCGATAAAGGAGGAAGCCGTGTGTCTCTCTCTCCTACTTATTTGCGAGACGAGAGCAGTGCGTTGCCGCCCCCTTCGTTTCCTGCTCCGCGTTCCGCTCGCGTGGATGTTGTGGGTGCGCGAAATCAGGGCTTTTTGCTAATTACCCTCGCAAGCGTCGGCTTTGATTGAGCCAATTGGCAGGGGTTCCGTATAAATTGCTGTGCAACCAGAAATCAAGCTGAGTCGGCGTTAATGGTTTTCACTTTTCTTTAGCAAGCGCACGAAAGAAGCAAAAAATGGCAAAGTATTGGTCATGGATTTAATAAATTCCACAGAAATGTGACTTTGTGATAGATCAATAAACACAATTTGCAAATAAGTATGGTCAAGATTCTTGATCAACTGACGATGATAAAATGAGGTAATATTTTAAAGATATTATTGAAATTGATTATAAATATAATTGAAGTCTTTAATTTCCTAAGTTTTCTTTGAATATCTAAATGCTGTATTTTGGCATCGAGGCATAATTATGTAAATAAACTTTTAGCAACTAAAATATTGCGAAACAGTTTGGTACTTGATTTGCAAATCGATCGGTTAGCAGCTTGAGAGGGAGGCCGGAAGAAATTCAAAGGCGATCGCGGCGGAGAGCAGGTTTGTTTCAGCGGGTGTTTGATCAAGCGAAGCCCGGCGGTAAATACACATGGCACATACACACACAGAGGCCGTGTTTACGAGGGGCCGAGCCAACAATTGGACGCCTTTCAAGTTGGCCTGGCTAGGGAAGGCTTCCTGCTGCACCAGCCTTTGCAGATATTATTAAGCCGTAAAGGTTCTTCAGCGCCCGCCATAATATAATAAGGAGGAGGTAAAATCGAGCGAGCGGGTTCCTCTGTGCTCAGCAATATTACTCTGTGTGTGTATTTTCAGAGAGAGCGAGTACTGGCTGCGGTTTATGGCCGACGCAGGCTGTGCCACCCAAAAAGCGGCCTGCAAAGACTTGGAACTAATTTCTGACCGCAAAAGAGCTTATAATCTCTAATCTTGTGCGAGAACAAAGGCAAAGAGGTTTTAATTAAGACACATTTTTAACTCCCCCCTTTTATAAATTCCGCCTTTGTCTTTGCTTTTGCTCTCTTTGTCGCTCTCTCGCAATTTTCCTCTGCTCTAACCATCGGTGGCGGTGATGATGAAAGAGCAGCATTTTCAGCCATAGATTATATTCTTCTGATTGATAACTTACTTTACGACTTTCTCGGCCGCTTTTTAATAATCGAGCGCGCACCGACTGCTGATGGGGCCCGTCGATTTTGATGGGGGATGAGGGATGGAGGAAACGACGGAAGGATGCCGTGGGGAGGCGACGGCAAAATGAGTCCCAGTTGTGCGAGGTTTTTCTCTCCAACAGAAATGTTTGACTTTTGCACAATGGGAGTTGAAAGTGAAATTTTAGTTTCAGTTTCTTTGGTGAAAAAAAAATTGATGAAGATAATGAAGGAAGATTGATCAATAAATAATAATTAAATCTGAATAATTTTAAAGGGGTAAATTGAAAATTAAATTATCCTTTTATATGTGAAAAATTCCACTTTCGACGGTTGAACTGGCTTTAAATTTGTATTTTCTTTGATTAGTTTTATAGAAAAACACCATTTTCCTAAAACGCTAAAAAAGACTAAAAATCTAATTGAGAAAATCCGACTTTAAAATCCAGTTGATTTAATAATTTATTTGCTAAATTCTGATTATTTTCCTCCCGAAAGATATTTAAATAATTCGCATCCATTCTTCATCATTCATAAATTAGCTTTGAACTATTTCAAGAGAAAATTCATAACTCAACAAACATAAAAGATTTTACAAGAAGGAAAAAAACTCTCTCCAGGGATGTTTTTTCAACCCTTATGACTTCAAAATAAACTTTCTTTCTTAAGTTTTTTTTTAGAGAATTAAAGATTAAAGAATGACTACCCCGAAGTTTTTTCCTTCATTGGAGTTTGAAAAAAGTGACCTTGACCTAAGTTTTTCGTCTCAGCATAAAAGTTGGTCAGCCCTA